ATGTCATAAAAGTGCATGATAAAAGAAACTGCAGGAAAAGTTTTCGTCTGTCAACACCAACTTTACATAAAGCCTAGTTCACATATAGTTGTAATTGTTGTAATTCGATCGGTGATGAACGTTTGCAGCAATTACAACTATAAGTAAACGCGTTGTAATTGTTGTAATTTAATCGCAGACAAATCGGGAGCTGTTCTAGAAGTTGAACTTGTCCAACTTTACAACATTTACAACATAAGAAATTTACACGTGAACGATTATCGGCGATGGCAATTCATCTTTACTTTCGAATTCTTGTACGATAAATGATCAAATTTGATACTAGTAAGTATCACCTGAATTACAACAACTACAACTATTTATGAATAGGTAGTGTTGTAAATCATTTTATTGTATAAAATCAGTTTGAATCTCGAATGTATAAAATCATTTGAAATGTATGAAATCAGTTGGAATGTATCAAATCAGTTGGAGTGTATCGAATCAGTTGGAATGTATCAAATCAGTTGGAAGGTATCGCTGATGAAATTACAGCAATTACAATTGTATGCGAAGTACGTTTAAACAGGCGATGACGAAATTGTCTGTACTGACTCATGCTCTAACTACACCTATGCGCGTTTAATGTCATATGCTATATCTTGCCAAAAGTTTTTTTTGCTCGAATTTGTACTCACAAAGGCAAGTGGGCTAAACAGACAAGTATTTTAGTAGAATCGTCAAATTTTACTCTAAATCAAGACAAATTTGTCGTTTTATCTTCCCGAGATAATCTTTTGCTGTAGATGCAAATTTTGTATTGTTATGTGTATGTATACTTTCGTATTTACTTATCTGATGAGATATTGTGTAAATGTGTACGTAATATTAGTCATTGAAAATAAAGACTTTATAACACTTTGTAAAATAGGTATTTTTATACAATACGTACATTGTTAGTCACGCACTCATTACTGCAAATGACGTTTTTTGCGTCATTGTTTCAATATCTCTTTGTATAGAGAGTTTGTAATAACGTCATCCTTGTTTGAACGGCGGAAAACGTCTATGTATGTTAAAGTTCCAACTATTTTTTGCCGACAAAATTTGTTTTTAAATCATAAGCGGACTCAGCGTTCGGCAAAATAAAGTTATATAGCTCAATTCGATTTTATATTCGAAAAATACGTTCAAAAACACTATTAGTTCGAAATTTCTAATGAATATAAGTTTACCAATGCACTTGCATCTAAAATGTTTGTAAACTTGTAAATATATTGTAAAAGGAGCAGCAGTAATTTATTTTTTGACGTACCCCGGTCCGGCACTGTTTTTATTAATAGCAAGCTAACTTGATTAGATCTTATGACGTATATTGGCTTATGTTAGAGTTACTGCAAATTAATTATCATTCAGTATTGCATGAGATCAGAGCTCCGCCCTACTGTGAGATAATTTTGTCAGTTTTTTGTAAGATTTTAAATTCATGTGCTCCATTTTTATTGTTTTAAAAAAGTATTCGCTGAAGAAATCATTACATTTACCAATATATAAACTGCCGATAATTTTACAACAACTGTAGTTCTGACTCACCCATTGCTTTTCTTTTTCCAATATGAGCGAGCGAACGATTTCTCACAATAATTTCGATTTTCTTTGGTTTGCTATTTTTTGACAGTCTTCAGCTGTTCTTGTATGTGCAGCCGAGTACTAAGTATGAATGAATCTCCAAGCGTCGGTTCTATTTATTTGCTCTACTTTTTGCTACCTGGAATCTTCCAGTTTGTTCGAAAGGAGTGAAAGTTCTTCCTTGCCTCCGAAATGCGCTGTCAGAATAAGGATGATGTGTTTTTGTGTGCTAACCGCAAATCAGTTTCGACGGAAATTTTCATAATTTTTTTGAAAGCATTCAGTCCAAAACATAAAATCTTTTCGAAAAACATGTGTGGCTACCTGATTTTTTTCATTACAGAAATATATTATTCACTCAAGCTTCATTCACAGTATGTTCATGTAATTTGTTACATTTTTGTTTTCTAAATAGAGTTTGGTGGTATAGTGGTTAGTGGTGTATAGTACCTGGTGTTATTACTATGGGGAAAGGCATTGTGTCTATATAAAGAAATCTGTCTGTGCAAATATCTTTATTTTATTTTTAAACCCTTTCATTCTTAACTTGTAATCATGTGAAAATGCCGTGGCAAGTCAAGTAAAATTTACCATTAGCTCTAAATAGTCTTTTAAAGACGGTTCGTTTTGTTGTAATCATACATTATTTTATGATGTAGCTACTAATCTGTTTTTCATTGGATTCGATAATTATGTTAAAATCTTGGAGTACATATGTTTGGTGTACAACATTATATCATACATTATCATACATGATATGCGCTAGGCAAGTTAATTGAGGTTATCTTTAGTCACGTTTTAGTTAGTATTGTGACGTTAACTAAACAATGAAAATGGTTGCTTATGTGCATGTAATTATTTATCATAACAGTTCGGTTTCGCATTGTGGTTTTACTATTGTGGTCAGTTTCGAATTATTTTTTGCTAAGTAACGTGAATGTGAACTGAAAACTAGAATTTTTCATGCACAATATCGAAAATGTGATTGTTAAATGAAAGCGATTTAGCTTGATGTTTTGCCAATAAGTTTGAAGAATTCTCCATGCAAACAATCGAGGTTCAAAACATTTTACTTAAATCTTTAACTAACTTTGGAGTAATTCCTCAGTCAATGATACCTGAAACTAAATTACTTTTAATGGAAATTTAGGGTGTAATATGACGGGGGCGGATTTAGGGTGATGGGCGAAGCGGCGGCGCGCGCTTCCCCTTTGCCGGAAAAATACCCAACAAAGAAATATATGATGTAGAATAAAATTGTTATTAAGGAATGTGTTAGTTTGCTTTGAGATTGAGGAAGTAATTTTCTATTGCTAACATCTCTATGTTCTCAAAGTACTACAGTCATATCGTTCGGTGCATAAATGTTTAGATTTGAAGTTTTAATGTCAATTTAATTTCATCGATGTTGTAGGTAAAATAGATCTTAAAATTTAATGTCAAGCACGTAGAGATTTTCAGCGAATTACGCAATGTGTTAAAATAAAATGTGTTAAATTAATCTCTTGTGAAAAATTCATCGAATGTACAAACATCAAGTGTGTTAACCATAAAGTCACTTATTACAGGTGAAATTGATAAGTTTTAACTTATTGGATTGTTCTTCTACTTTTCCTCATTTCTTATTAGTTATATTTCTAAATAAATTGTTTGATAAATTTTTCCTGTTTCTTTCGACTTTGTTACGGAAATGTGACACTTGACTTAAACTTTTCCTAACTACTCTGGCAATTGTTATATAACTTTCATATTACGTATATAATGCGCATTCTAATTAGTTGCCTTGATATTTTGCCAAATGCCATGCGCATAATGTATACTACCCACGTATATTTGATGTTTTCAAGGACATCTAAATAAGACAAAAAGTCTTGCATTAAAGAAATATATATCCATCAAAACACAAGAATTAAAATTGATGTCATTTGACAAAGTCGTCGCTATCAACGAAATTAGTTGATGCTGTAGTTCTCAATAAATATAGAGCCCAACAATAATTTTAAACATAGTCATAACAATTTGGTTTTATGAAATTTATTAAAGAGGACGTTTCGTCTTTACTCAAGACATCTTCAGACTAATTAGGTGTCTTGAGTAAAATGTGTCTTGACTAATTAGGTGTCTTCAGACTAACTAGATGTCTTGAGTAAAGACGAAACGTCACTCTTTTAATAACTTTCATAAAACCAAATTGTTTATGACTATGTTTAAAATTATTTGTTGACTCTAATATTTATATTGAGAATCCGTTTCCTGCCTGGCACTTCATTGGCAACAATATTGATGCTGTAATATTTATTTAAGTAGTACATTAAACGAGTTTTTGGAGAGTGCGTACGTAATTAATATTCTCCACGGAGGCAATAATGCAATTAAAATAAGTTAGGAAAACACGGCAATTTTATGACCTGTAAGTGGTACGTTGCAAGCTGACGATTTCAAGCTTGTCAATTGTTTATACATCATCGGCTGCCTAGAAATCACTTAACGCTTCTTTTAGAATCGATTTATCCAAATATTTTCCTCGAGTCACAGCTGTAGGCAATGTTTGTCATCACATGTGCGATAGTCATTGATATCGCGTGTCTTCTACGTATGTATTGGTCTTAACAGGCTAATATTTTCACAATGTCGGCAAGTTTCACCAAAAAAATGACAGTTCACTAACACAAAACAGTAATAAAGTGAATGGTTGAACCCTGGGAGTATCGTAACATGTTTGTGGATGAAGATCGTCCAGGTTAGTAGAGTCCTGAGAAGGACTGTTGGTATTGATGTAGACTGACGTTTCGACAACCTTAGCGGTAGTCATCTCCAGAGTCAACTTAACTCTGACTGACGTCAGCTTTTATAATAAGCATAACAGACGTAGCTATGATTTTGCAACACGGCCATCGCGAAAGTAATGGCAAGGGTCATTACTGTCGACGTTTCGTCTTCAACTTCAGCCGTTTTAAATTTAGAGCTAAGCTGCTAAGCCACGAGAAGGCTTTTGAGTTTTCCAATTTCTACAATTATACTTCATCATATAGCGAGGAGGGAAACGTATGAAATTTTTTGCAGACAATTTATCAGAGAATTTTTCACTCTTACTGAATTTTACGTTGTTGTTACATAATTTGTAGTACATTGCTATTTGCGATTAAATGTACTGAAACTAACCAATAACAGTTGAGTGTCATTTTGCTCCATGACGATATGTGCTACGTGCAACTGTTAAATTGTTAATTACTTATATTACTAACTCGTCGCCCGTGCTGACTCATCATCTCTGCTCCTATGGCACATCACTTCCGCCGAATCAAAAAATAGTTTGCATCATCTATGTAAATTTATTTCATAGATAATTACTTCAGAATATTTAATCAACATTTCGTAATGATTATTTACAGTAATCGAGAACAGTGTTCAAGAGTTGGTCTATGCAGTTTGTCGTCAAAGTTACATTTGTGCTGCATAACATTTGGGATGTTAATGACAGGAGGGTTTGCTTCAGTTGTGAAGGTAACTTTTTATTACATACATCCTTTAAATAGACGGTAATTTGGTCATGTGAAAGAAATTTTGTACGTGATTTGAAAATGCTTTATATACGCTTAGGTACATAATAAATTGGACGGCTATCTCTATGCGATCAAAAGAATTTATTTGAATCAGACAAGTGTTCTGTTAAATCGCAAAATTGCTCGAGAAGAGAAGTTCCTTTCTAGATTGAATCATGAAAATATTGTAAGGTAAAAAGAAATTTACTATCCAAAATAAATCAAAATTTTATAACATAAGGGTTGAAAGCGAGGTTCAATTTAGACGATACAAATTGCTTGGCTTGTTAAAGTTATCTTTGTAAAATCTATTATAAAAAAGTAGATAATCCCTTTTTTTCATGAAGCCCATGGATGCTTTTATTCATGATGAGAAAGTTATATTTTAAGAGGAGGCTCTCGCTCGTCACGAGAGAGTCATGAGAAAGTTACATTGTAAAAGGTAACATGTAAAAAACGTATAAACATGCTTAGAGTTGCTTTAAATTCTAAGTCAAAGAGGCAGAAGTATTCTGAACCTTTGCAGTATCCTTGAATGTTCTAGTTTTTTTATGAAATAAACCAAATATAAAATTCAAAAGAAAAAACCCCGTATTCAGTCCATGCTTTCCGATACCTTCTTAAGCGTAAGGCACTAGAACGCTGCATGTTAACGTTTCGGTGGAGATTTCAGCCCCTCGCTATCCTACATGGGGATGCAAATACGTAAAAACCTTCCGCCCATCAGACCCCGAGATCATTTGCGATAGGCCTTTCTCGGGGTACTCAGGAAGAGTGTAGAAATACCTTCGCGCATGTGCAGATCCTATCTCGTAAAATATTGAAGTTACGACGAATGTTTGAGAATCACTTATCAGTGTTGAAACAGGTAAGTTTTAATTGATTGGATTGTTCTTCTACTTGTTCTTCATTCGTTTTTTGTTGTATTCGAAATAAATATTTTAATAACTTTTTTCCTATTTCTTTCAACTTATGTAACGTTACAACGCAACAAATAAAACTATACTTGAAAGGTCAAATTATGCCATGCATATTAGAGTTACATCAATTACTATATGTGTATGCTAAGAAGCAGCCTTTAGTGATTTTTAGCCTTCATAAAGTTAAGCATGTTCATAATGTTATTCGGAGGTTATTTTCCACTCCTAGATGTTTCGTGGTTTCATTTCAGATTTTGTTGTTTGAACGAAATATCTTATTTCCAAACGTTTAATTCCAAATATTAATGACTCCATCTCTATCAGCGGTTGCGATGCACCATTCATTGCCATCGTCATGCAGAGCAATTGTCGTAACACCTTTTATGTGAGGAGTTGTTCTGTATGTGAAATAAAATACATTTCTGAGGTAGGTTCGACTTTTGCATTCTTTAACATTAATATTGATAAATTTAGTAACTTAACTTTGCGATGTAAGAAAGGATCAAGTCGTATTAACAACAGCATGCAGAAAATCCTACTCGATACTAAAATTATTTTTAAAAATTACTGCCTTTACTCACCAATACACTTTTCAGTATTTTTTCATGCTCTCTCCATATATAGGAGTGCATGTCTCAAATTCATCAAAAGTGAAGGAAAGTAAAACGTAGGGTAATCAACGCAATTCTTGGATTGCAAGCTACGTCATAGTCGCCATGTTGGATGATTTTAACAAAGGATTTTCCTTATTTACAATGCAAATTTCATCCAACATCGCCTGCATTCCATTGTTCTCTTACTCTCAGGAGGATGGTTGCAACCCACCAATAAGCAAACAGTGACAGCATTTCAATAGAATAATACTGCTGAATTTCATATTAATATCTCTATAGAACTCATTAACAATTTTTATGCATATGTATTGTATAAAGCAGAAGTGTTCATGCTCTCTAGCATTGCTAAACAATAACTACCTTCACTTGAGAATTAAGAGATACAATGACTTTGATAATTCGCCAATTGGTAATCTGTGAGTACAATAATTAAAGTTTACGCAATGCAGTCGAATGCTTCATTTTGGGTTTCAATAATGACGAGGATGGGACACAGAAGCACGCTGCTGTTTTCAATTACAAACGTGTAAGTAATGTACTTTTACCGAGGCTTTGAAAGCGTTTTGTAGAAGAGGTTAATAAAGAATGCTGTAACTTAAAGAAGGTACCGAATATAAAGATAAATTTTAAGTATCGTGAAAGTGTACTGACATTTAAATGTTTGATACGATGATAAGTGTGTATTGAGTATATATCACAGCTGTTGCTGCGTTTTGAGATTTTTCTTTTACATATCGACTGTTTTTTAGTCTATAGTCTTCATATTTTGAATAATGAGTGACTCTATACTGAACAGAGTCATTTATATATTCGCTGTGATTATCTAATATATTTGCTGCCATTGTTTGCATATTATCTGGGTAACTCCAACTGTTTCTTTTGCTTCAAGACAAGGTGAGATTTAAATAGGGCGTGCGAGTAAAATAATTGTATGAGCCCAAAATTCTGCTACTTAACTAGCTCCCTCGAATTCAACCATAGTCACCCCGAAATCCCGATGTAATTTCCCTGAAATCCAGTTACAATACTAAGTCATTAATAGCTGAGCGAGGTCTTTTCGGAGAAATATCGGACTGATGTCTTCTTGTACAGACCGAGCCCGTAGGGCAAGGTTTGTAGAAAAGACAAAGGTCTGATATTTTCAGTAAAGACCGAGAAAGCGACGTTATTCAAAAGATTATTACATGGCATTATTTCACCTGAAACAAAGCTTGCCTTCTTTCTCGTCCTTGTTGTTTTACGGGTTGGCTTTCACTTTTCTAGTTTTCGTCTTTAAAAATTAATCGTTTCAAATTGTATCGTTTGGATGGTTTAACTGTTTCCAATTGTTTTCCTTCGTTACACTTGACTTAATTATTTGCTAATTACAGGAAGAATATGAGAGCATATTTTAACACTTTGCACTATCCTTGGATACCAAGTTTAATACGTGAAAGCAGGACCGTCTACAGAACAGTAAATTGGGGAGGGGAAGGAGAGGATACTCATGTATTCAGTTGTTCCCGATTGTAACGTTTTAGTGGTGGCAATTTGCATTAAAACAAGCATTAATTTTTTTTAATTCACTTTGGCTAGAAAGTGCTTTTCACTATTTTTTTTTCATTCCTAAAATATAATCTCCTGCAATATTAAAACTTCAGCTTAATATCAATTTAAAAAGCAACGAAAGGTTTATTTATTACTATAACACATGCAAATAATGAATAATACGCGACATAATTAATAATTCTTAACTTGCTTGTGGTTATCATTTGTTGTGATTGGCAAATTAAGATAGATTCCTAAGTCATTTGTCACTGATCAATTTTGTCAAAATACTGTCTAGCTCTTCAGAAAAATCTCTGAATTGAGATAGTTAAACGACTTTTTCACCTTCAATGCGAGACAGGTCAAGTGAGTTTAACGTTTTATACAACGTTTTAAAAATGCAACAAAGTTAAATTTGTTAGATGATTCGGCGTCATTCTTGTGTGTCATTTATTAATTCGTGGAGGGCGAAAACGGTCTATTCCTTTGCTTTATTTTTGAATTGGAAAGAATTTAAAAATCGTCCGCCATATTAACATTTTGCACGTGTTATTCTTTGGTAATCAGCATAAAATTAGCAATGATTTAGCTACTGATCTATTTATTTAATGACCAACCATTTATATAAAATTTAAATCAACTTCAATGAAACTCAATATAACTATCTTTTAAACATATAATTAAATAATTTATGAAGGAAAATATGATATTTATAACTCAAAAGAGAAAGGAGAAGATAGTGATGATTCTTATGAAATAATTTTCTGTTGCACAATAGCTAATATTTTTTAAGAAGGGCCAGTATTTTCCCATTGGTCCCAGGGCCCTACTCTGGCTTCGTGACACACGTCACTGATACGCTGGACATAAGACGGAATATCGGCTACGTTAATTGCGGTGCAAGTAACAAACGTTTTATCTACAAAAATAACGATTTTCTTGCCACTACCTTTGCAAAGAAAAAGTTGCTTGTTCCCTAAAACACTTGAATTGATTTGGTCATTATTGCATTTGGTTCAGTTATTCTCCAAGATTTTATCTATTTACTCTTTGTACTTAAAGTAGTCTATTCATGCTTGATTTAGTCCACAATCAAAGAAAAGAAAACGGAAAGCTTTTGAAATGATGATCTGCCAACTGACTTGATCATTCCTTTGGTCTTATAATTCTGGTTTACGAGGAAAAAAGGCTTTTAAAAACCTTCTTCAGTGGATGCCCACAAGATGAGCAAAAAGTTGCTTGAATATGCAACAACAAAACTTGCCCATTTTACTGCTCTCAGAACAAGTCAACTTTCATCACATTCAATAATAATCATGAATTCCAGTTTAATATCAATAAAGAAAATTTAATTTAATTAAAAATATCTAGTATAAATGTTGATTTGGCAGAAAATAGTGCAAATGTTATACAGCTTTTAGAATATTATTCAATTATTAGAATATTAGGATCACAGTTTCTGCTGAAAACAATTCATACACTTTAATAGCGTTGCGTGGAGTGTCATGAGTTGTACGTCATTCATCTTGTCGCACAACACAATGTTCAGCCATTTCTTGTTTTCACCGCCGTCGGAAGCTCTAAGTAAGAATGGGGGGGGTCTGAAAATTCAAATATCTTAGAGTCTCGAAACATCCTTCCACTGAAAGTAACCGCACCATTAAATTAGCCACCTTTTTAAAATTGAAATAGACCGGGCAGTTTATTATTTCGAGAATCTACGGTATGTGACTTTCTCCTAGAAGATTTGGGGAAAAGCTGGGCTTGTTAAATTTTCACAACAATTTTGAAAATTACTGAAAGGGGGTTGCAGCCTGCCCAAACCCCACAGCTTCCGATGGGCCTGGTTTCAGATGCTTTATTCATTCATGTCTTCGTTTTTAGCAGAAATGTGACACAAAAACTACTGATACTTAAACCATTTCTATCATAGTCTGCTGTCTTCTTACGCAGTCTTTACACTCTTCATTCTTTCCACAACTTTTTATCGAATACATTATTCCTTTCTTACGATGACACAGATTACAGTCCAGAATGAGTATTGAGATGAGGACAGTCGAGAGAATGAAGGCAACTAACATCAATTTAGGTGATGTGATGTAAACAAATAACCCTTTATTTAGCACCTGGGGTCGACTTTCTGTAGAGAAATTTTATGGAAATAAGATCATGAAGCAAATCGTAAAACATGATTATTTTGCAATTTTTCTCAAAAGTTGTGCACATCTAATTACACACAGTACGCTTTTTGGTTAAATTTTTCAATCATAATTGAAAATTTTTTACCTGGATCACTGCGGCTGCTATTAGAACGTGTAATTTTATGGACTTTTGGATTCCAAAAAGTGCACGATGTGTGATTCCTGACAACTTCATTTTGGGTTGAACCATCCAGGAGTTTTAATTCGACATGCTTCATTTTCTCTGTTGCGTTGCAACCAGGCAAGCATTGAGTGAATGGGATAAAGAGATAATTTAAAAGAACATTTTTATATTCACTGTACACATGAAAACGAGGTTGTGGATGCTTGCAATAGTCATTACATGTTTTCACGTTTGGTGGATTGTATTTTACTTTTGTTGTAAATTCTGTTTCGTTAACTGTAAACACAAAAGGAAAAGCGTTTCAAATTTAGATCTCAGTTTAAATTTTAATTAAATACAGAAGTCCTTACTTTCGTTTGAAGGTCGATTCTTGTGTAGATTAAAGTTCACGGCTGTCAAGTTCTTTTCCAGGTAACAAGAAGTGTGATTATATACAATATATTTATAAAATTTTGTGTAGTTTTTTAAATCAGGAACGACAATCTCGACTTCTGTCAATGTCATAGGTTGGGGCCAACATAATGAACATTAGGAATTTTATCTTTTTCGATGACACATCGTTGAACTTTAACATAATAGGGCTCCCTGTCCTTGGGAATGTCAGTGAAGTTTTCATTATAAATTGAGACAACTTCTTCCTTGAGGACTGAAACTATAGAAAATGAATATTAACGTTAACTCATTTTCATCGTGATTCAAATCATTATTTGTTTTTGTACCTGGTTTATTGTTAGTAGTCTTGTTCTCTGTTTTACTATGCACATTCTTGCTCATGAACACCACACATATTATGCATGTATATTTGAAGTTGTTAAAGACACCTAAAGAAGACAAAGATTGTTTTTCAGAAAATTCATCGTTTAATGCTCATTATTACACACGTGAACTGCTCATTTTATGAAGCATTTATTTTATCGTGAAAAAATACAAGGGATGTTGGGTTATGGTGTATTGTGTTTCAGTAAATCACTCAATTATATTATTGACAAAATGAATTCATTAATCGTAGAATTATGTCATCAAAAGAATTATGTCATCACAAAATGTCAACAAAAAGTATCTTTAACTGTCTTATTTATAAGAAATTCATTAAATAATTTTCTTGAAGACTAAATTTATGCATTTCCTCCATCATTAATAAACATGCATTGCTCACCCATTTCTTCTGTTTTACAAGCTGATTTCTCAAAGATATCTTGTACAATGTCAGGTGTATTGTCTCTCTTATAATTCACAACTTAGCTTCGCTTTTATAAATAATGAGTTCTGAAAAGTCTTTTATACTCTCTAATTTCAATAGCATGGTTTTATAAACCTCAAAAATTTAAGATTTTAACCACAATTGAGATGGAAAGTAGTCTTCAAAGACATCCTATATTTTGATAAGTACTATGAATATATTTGAACGGAATGTCATTCATATGTAATCATTATGTAGGTACTCTCATTTAATTGTTTATTTACTATACAATCAATGTTTATTCATCCCTGAACCATTGAAGATGACTCATCAAATCTCTGTAATCAACCAGTTTTATATTGAAGTATTTATGTCGTTATTAATTTATAAACTGGCACTTGAAATGTTAAGATTTCTTACTCTTAAACCATTGTTTGCTTCACTTAATTAAGTTACTGTAAAATTCAAATCATAAAGAAGAATCTGAAAGCGTGGGCCCATAGCATAATTACTCTTTCATTATTCTCTCATATTCTGCACTATGGTCAGGCTGGCCTATCCTCTCAACTTGCTTAAAAGTAAATATTTACACTGTTAATCATGTCTCAATTAAACGATCCTACGTCGGCACATTATATTTTGACGTAATCATTACTGAATTATCAATTTATCATGTTTTGTGAGTAATATGAAATGGGAAGAATTTACAGATATAATGAATTGTCGAAATGCCAAGTTACATAGCTATTTAATTGAGATGTAATTGTTGATTCGCTTCTGGCAAATTTCGGGGTAAATTTTTCTTTTTGAATGTTTTTATATAGCCGGGCAACAAAGATGTGTCAAATTGTTTACGTGGCTATATTTTTAAAATAGGAAGAGCAAACACGCATTGTAGCGCTTGTTGTAGATTTTGATAATTTTTGTTTGTCATGGGTTATGGTGTGCTACGGTGGCTATATATCCATTTAACTATTTGCGTGTTACAAAATTTTAAAGGTACATTTATATCATTGTTTTCATTACTACAGCTAAAAACAATTGGATATGTATTATTTTTTTGACAATATTGCATTCTTTATTCAAAAAATGAACAGCATGACTTATTCGAGAACATAAAATTATTTGATAGCTATATAGAATTCAAATTAGTTAGTTACTATAAGAAAAAACAACTCGTCTGTTTTTGGAAATAAGTAATAAGTAATTCAGGCAGCTCATTGCTCTCAAAATATTGCAAAGTCAGCTTTGACGCAATTCAATTCCAATGATGTTGTAGGGAAATCACATTTCAGAAATCTATTACTGTGTTATAGCCTGTATGGGAAGAGTTTTAAGTGACTGCACAATATTGCAAAGTCAGATTTGAATTGAGGCAATTGCATGAGTTCCAATGACGTTTTAGGGAAATTACATTTTTTGTATAAAACAAAGACTTTATTGTGGTCACGAACTTTAATATTGCTCTGATTAACATATTTGTCATGGTGAACGACAATTTAAGTAGTTCTTAAGAACTGTAGAAAACTGAAATGAAGATAGTTATAAAATTATGGTGCAGTTTTCCGAAATGCATCGTGTCATTTTAATTTTATGTAACATCCTCATTTTGGTGTTCAACTGTTCTTTGAAGAACTACTCAATTGTCAATCAACACGACAAATACGCTAATCACAGCAATAATTCTTAAATTGAAGACAAAAGACAGCAAAGCAAAGCATTTGAGCTCTTGCAAACGACAAAGTGACAATCTATTAACTGTTAAGCGGTAGCCTAGCCATCTCAAGAGTTGCATGGTCATGCTCTGTAAGTTTTTTAACACGATATCATTGTTGGTTTCCTAATGGATATTGTTTTTACAGTGAACAGACACCAAATTACGTACATAGCTGTGAAGGACTTGCTGCGGTTAACCGTTATAAACGCGACCCAAAAGTTAACGTCAATGTCGTTAATTCTTTTATGCTATCTTTTGGGCAGTGGCGTGCGGTCATGCAAGCGTAGGCAAGCGCCGCTTGCCTAAGCATTTTACCGAACAAAAATTTTTTGGATCAATCTCTCAGCAAAATCAGTTTAAATTTTTCTGTTCTAAACAATGTCAATGTAATCTTTTGTCTAAATTGTCTTTACAGTTGAAATGCTTGCTATTTATACGCGATTTTCTGTCGTGGTTTTCGGTTTCACTTTGCGACACTTGTAAGATTAGTCAAGTGGATTAAATACACCTTAAAAATTTCTTATTTATTAACCAAGGCAAGCGCGCTTGCCTTCGGTGCTCAATTTGAACATTTGCGCATGCGTTAATCTAGATTTGAGGCTTCTTATTCGAGGAATATCGAGGCAAGCGGCGCTTCTAAGGGCGCCGCTTGATAGCGATTGGTTAACAGTCTTGTACGCTCGCAATTTTAACACATATCAGCGCGCAATAATATTCGTATATTCACACATTGACATTCGAATTATTCACGCCGTTAATGTTATCGTTTATTAAAGATGACTGAGATGAAAAGTAATGTTCTGATTTCTAATTCAAAGTAGTAGGTGCTTTACTGGTTATTTTATTATTTTCTGCGCACAATGTGCGTAACAAGCAGGGGCCGCAGTCTGCAGAGATATCGAAATGCACGCAAACGTGTGTTGTGGTAAAGTATGACTAGCATTATGACCAAAACACTATGCTCTTGTCAGTCTTGTGTCGTTGAATTCGTAAATTAATGACTAAAAATAAAAGTTACAAGATACTAAATAATAAACACGACTCTCCGATATTCTGAAACGTACGAGTCAGTGACACATTTTGAAGAACGGAGAACACGTTGCCATGACGTCATTATACCAAAATATAAACATTAAACAACGCCATGGCCTCAGTTTGTTACACACCGTGCCAATTTTGTGCGCGAAACTGGCTGTTCTTAATTGTTATAATCACGACTGCTACAATACATTTCGCGCCCATTGTCTTGCAATTTATGTATGTAGAAGATATTATCTGTAGCATGTAATACAAGATTATAATATTGACAAGAGCTTCCTTTTGCGTAGTGGTTTTGATATTTGTCTCCGGTAGATTTTAGCGTGATATAAGTCTTTCGTATGAGCTCCGAACGTGAGTTCAACGTACTAGAACGCTATTAAATTTTGTGATTATTTCATTCACTAGCGAAGAAGTTATTTACAACAGTCGTGAGTGTTCTATGTGTTAGAATTTATTTACAGGCTTTTTATATATTTGGTTAAAGAAGGTGCAGTTATTACACAGCGGATAATGTACTTGAAATTTGAGTAGTTTTACGTAATTATAAAGTTAAGTGCTCACCCCCAGCGCTTGCCTATTAAATTCGGTCACCGCACTCCACTGCTTTGACCGTCGGTGGGGTATTTTGTTCAATATTCATCGACGACTTCTAGTTACACTATAATTGTTGCTATTGTCATTTCCGGTAGTTTTTTATGATGACTTGTCAAAAAATGTTTGCATTTCAGTAATTGTCATATTTATTAATATCATATGTTGTTTTTACTTTAAAAGTTGGTGTTTACATTTGCAATTTCTGGTATTGTACCAAGTACGATCTTTAAGTAAACTTTTGCAGCGGTAAAATAAAAGGAAACTTTAAGTGACCAACTAAAGGCACAGAGCGTTTGCATTGAATGATTCCTTCTCTGCCGCAGTGTCAATTATGCTTTGACTTAGTGACTCGTATCAATCAGCACAGTCAATTTTTTTAGCAATATTAGGTAATCTTTTGAAAAGATTCACCTATATTGGCCTGTTAGTCTGAATAAAATTAAATATTTGACATTGTTCAATGAAAACCACACATGGAGAAATAATAAAAAATAACCATAGCATAGCTAATTAGTATCCAATTTGTTTGTGGTTCAACACAGCAAGTGTTTTTTTTTAGTTGTTGACATCATTTTATCAACATGTAATGATCAATTCATTTAAAAAACAATCCATGAATCCTGGAGAAGCCTGATATAATTTTCCCCGTCTACTGTATAAAGCCTCATAAAATTAACCTCGATTTAGTTTCAATCGTGACTTTCTCCAATTTTATCAGCAATGAGCCGTTTGAATAACTGATTTCACTAAAGGAACACATTTACAGTTCTTGTTATTAATCCTCAAAAATACAATACGTTTGTCTATGTGGCAAAACAAATCATGTCCTTTATTGCTTATATAAAGCTATATTGTATGCAACATAATGTAAAGTTAAATTTCAGCTTTAGAGATGTTCATTTATCTCTACAAATTTGCATTTTTATTACTGGAAAAATACTTCAATTGGGTTTGTCATATTAGGTAGAAATATTATTGTTCATTTAAACGACAATTTTAAAAAATATACATGTTTCATATGGTATACCGCTTATATCATCATTTATACTGAAGTGATGTGCATCCTTGTTAGATTATAAATATAATTTACACTTTCCCACTGTTGAAAGTCTATACTTTTGACCGGATAATGAGGATTTCAACTAGATTGTGATGCATGAATGACGAATGTATGATTGTGGCGTGCCAAATGTCCTCATTATGTGTCCGGTATGTAAATGCGCATACGAAATTAACGTTTATTTACGCAATCTTGGAGCAAGTTGTAGCTATTCGTCAAAAAGCAAACGGCTTAGCTTTTGATAACCACTTCTCGAAATGAATGTCTGTTTAGCATTTTTTGAAACGCCATGGTGCGATACTACGCATTCTTAAAACTAGTTTTATTTCCCATGTTTACTAACAATTTTTCTCAGAAACTTTGTGTTAGGTTTTGTGATGTAGCCATCTATCTTCTTTAGTATATATTGACTTACACGAACAATAGAGATATCAAAGATAACTATTTCGATCACATTTAATGTTCAACGTCAATGTCTATGGTCAACGATCTATCTTATAATGGTGAAACTACTTCTATTTATACAAGATATTAAGTATGGATATATTTGTTTCTTTACTAAGTATGGTTAATTTACAATCAACGGAAAGCTATTAGGAACTATAAAAAATATTGTGATTATTGCACATAAGTATCTCTTAAAATAATCATTTAGTTAGTTACACTTGACTTAATTATTTACTTATTACAGGAAGAATATGAGAGCATATCTCAACACTTTGCACTATCCTTGGATACCTAGTTTAATACGTGAAAGCAGGACCGTCTACAGAACAGTAAATTGGGGAGGGGAGGGGGAGGATACTCATGTATTCAGTTGTTCCCGATTGTAACGTTTTAGTGACGGCAATTTGCCTTAAAACAAGCATTAATTTTTTTAATTCACTTTGGCTAGAAAGTGCTTTTCACTATTTTTTTTTCATTCCTAAAATATAATCTCCTGCAATATAAAACTTCAGCTTACTATCCATTTAAAAGCAACGAAAGGTTTATTGATTACTATAACACATGCAAATAATGAATAATACGCGACATAATTAATAATTCTTAACTTGCTTGTGGTTATCATTTGTTGTGATTGGCGAATTAAGATACTTTCCTAAGTCATTTGTCACTGATCAATTCAGTCAAAATACTGTGTAGCTCTTCAGGAAAATCTCTGAATTGAGACAGTTAAACGACTTTTGTGACCTTCAATGCGAGACATACGGTGGCCCGTATCTGCAATTCACAAATTAATTTGTCAATGCACAAACATTCCCTTAAATTCAAAAACAATATATTTGATACAAAAATAATGTGCTGAATGCAAAATGATTTTGTTTGCGATGCAAAACACGAACAATGCAAAACAAATTTGATCGCAATGCAAAACAAATTTGATCGCAATGCAAAAACAAATTTGATCGCAATGCAAAAACAAAGTTACCGCAACCCAGAATTTTGCACTGTACTGTGGGCGGCAATATGTCGAATATTTAATAGAGTGGGACAGTGTAGATTAGATTTCTTTCGAAAATATCTGCGTTGGTTTGTAATGTTTTGCTGCTTTTGTGGACATGGAATGGAGACGTCGTTTTTCTTTTGCCCGAATTGCGGAAAGAAAAAATTCAATGGGACCTCTGAGCCTTCAAGCAGCTCTGACCTTGTGTGACTCACTCGACTGGGAACTCCCCCACTTCGTCGAACACGTCTTCATCTTGTACAAGTTTGTCTACTTTCATGAAGAACAAGGAGGCTGAACGACGGTCGCATTTTGAGCCCAAGAGGAAAAAGTCACGCTCTGCAACATCACGAAAAAATACTGATGTTTTTATAACAGTAGGTTTAATGGAATACGACCACGATGATTCATATACGCCAAGACGGGTTTTTGGTAAAACATTTCCTGTGAAGATGACACCGGACATGGTGTATGATCAAGTTCTTAAAAGATCTTTGACCAAATGGGCTAACTATGATAGAACATTTTGCCCTGATAGAGGTTACGTATATGTTTACCCAGATGGTCAATTGGCACGAACAATTCCTGGTGGGGACGAAGAATTCGTGATGGGCAAGTACAAAGAAGAACTTGGGAAAGCGTACTCAAGAATAAGTTTGTACCTTTGCCCTGTAGCACCAAAACAGAAAGTGAGAGCGAATGATGTACTCATCACTGATCTACTTACCGAAAACGACGATTTGGACCTCAATAGTGAATTACAAGAAGAAGTGCCAGAAAATTGTAATGGAAATTTGGCAGTATCTCCAGAATCCAGTGGAAATGGGTCTGGGGAAGCTGCTGCAACATCCTATGCTTTGACGGACTTTTTGTAAGTGTAACATGTAATATGACTAAGTTTTTTCTACTTTATTGTGTATAAAGCAATCACTGTTGGTTGTATTAAATCTATGAAATCTTTTGTTATTAGACCAGTTGGAGTTGATGAGAATGCTGCTGTGCAACAGGCCATACGTATAGCTTGTGTCGATGTGGAAGATGCAGTTGGTGATGCTATCACTGACCCTGAAATTCTCACAAGTGATGGTTTCTTGAATGCAGTTAAAGAGCATGCAGCAAACAAAATTCAAGGAGACCCTCGAAACATTGTTGTTAGCCGATTAAGCATATGGCAAACTGCGCTACCATATTTTAGAAGGAAAGGCTTCCTTAGTTCTGCTGGCATTTTGAAAGTATCATTTGCTACATTTGAAGAGGAGGAAGATGCCGTAGATCAAGGTGGCCCAAGAAGAGAATTCTTCCATCTACTTCTTGGAGCTATTGCACGAGACAGTGGAATAATGTGTAGTAAGTTATGAATTAAAGTTCTTGACTTGGAAATGTTGTGTACTAAATTTCAAGTTTTGATTTCATTTCAGTCTGTAGCCTGGTTGTAGAGTGTGCCACTTTATTTTATTGGCTAAATATAAATTCTGTAGGCATGCCAACAGGTTGTGTAATCGCTGCAATGTTGGAGCCTTGAATCAAGGAACATTTTTGGCTGATGGACACATGTTGGCTACACTTGTTGTGCAAGGTGGAGAATTGCCACGAATATTTAGCAAATCTGTTTGCCAATATATTGAGGCAGGGTTTGGCAGCTGTACACCAGATATAGACGAGCTACCTGACAAGAACATTAGAGATTCTCTTTTAAAGGTATCAAATGTTCGACATCACATGGCAGAAACCAATTTGCCAATTTTTATTGACACTTAAATTCTTTGAAACTTAATTTTTTTTTAAACAATTTTGGCAACAATTGTTTTCATTATTACTATAGCTGAAAGCTGCAAAGGATCAAGGGGGTGTTGATTCTTTTTTGGCTGAGAGTGAGTGGAGATATGACATTGATGGATTGTCCCAAACCCTCCTAATTAAAGATAAGCTGATGTTCATTGAGGAGGTCACCAAATACTTCATCATCATAAAATGCAAACCAATGCTTGATCAGCTCATTGAAGGCCTCAATTATTATGATGTATGTGGTGTCGTATATTTAATTCAAAGTTTAGTTTAATTTTATTTTATTTGCCTGCCTCCATAATAGTGTTATAGTAGTAGCACTTTGGGGTATTATGTAAAACAAAGCAAAACAGAGAAACTAATGCTAGTCATGTATTATTGGTTAATACATTGAATAATATACACAGCAGATTAGCACTGAATATTGCAATAGTATTAATTATTGATTTCTATATACTATAAGTAAAATGCCTTTCCTATTCAAAGGTTTTGCAACTGGTCCGTGCTAATAAAGGAATGGCAAACTATTTATTCCAGTACAATCCAGAGAAAAGATGGATGGCAGCAAGCTGATAAAAATCATGAAACCTAATTTTTCTCCAATTGGTCACCATCGTAGAGAACCACAAGAAATAATAATGGCTAAATTTATCGCCTTCATCAAGTCCATGGAAGGTGAGTGACAATGTGATCTGTCCCAGATCGAAGCATCTGCTTTTGCAATGGCAGATTTAATAAGTGTCTTTTTCTGTATATTTCTGTGTCATATGATATGTATTACATATTACTATTTAATAGATGGAAGTTTGCTGGGAAACTTACATGATGAAGGAATCGAGTTGACAGAAGAAGAGGAGCGCTTTGCTTCTGAAGCAACTCCTAAGCATATTCTTCTATTTGCAACTGGTGCAACCAACATACCTACTATTGGCTTTGTACCTAAACCAACAATCACATTTGTTCATGATGATGGCAAGATGATACCATCAGCTCAGACCTGTTCCAACTCATTGCATTTGTATGTGAACAAGAAGACACTAGATTGTAGCCTGGCCCATTGCTTGCTGACAGCTTTAATGAATGGAGGAATATTTAGTAAATTGTGAGGAAGAATAACAATGTGTCCCTTGTTTTGGGGATTTAGTTAAACTTTTGCAGAGTTATGTTACAGACATTATTTACAAATGGTGTGCCAAAAAAAAAAAATTAAAAAAAAAATTTAAATTCAAAAATTTTTTTTTTCAAAAAATTTAAATTCAGCTTTGGGCAATTCCACGTAAGATATGGTACATTTCCAATGCTCTTCTCCAATGTGTTGGTTGAGACATACCAAGTTCATTTCCAATGGTGCAATAATATTCTTGAATAACATTTTCTTCCATGTACTCATGACAATATTGAGACATATCTTGAAATTGAGCATCAGTCACTTGCTTTGCATAATTTTGTGCACCATTGCATTCAGGAGAAAGTAAAGTTCATCTGGTCTTCCAGCAACTGTGTCAAACCTTGACTTACGGATGTAGTGGGAGTTCCAATTACGCTTGACGCTTGTTAGATCTTCTTGTAATAAATTGGCAAAGCAATACCACAAACATTCCTTGTCTAGATCACTTGATGTATTTAAATGCCCTGTCTCAATCATATCTTTAAAACAATTCATCCACCAGTTCGAGCGATTTTTTCGTAGAAATGCCCACCAAGATTCAATCCGCTGGTTTGACTGAGAGGAACCATACCGATGAGCATTGATACCTGCCATCTCATCATCCCCACTAGTTCTAAAATAAGCTTGCATTGCTGCCATTATGACATTTTCAGTCCCATTGTCTGTTCTCAACAATGTGGGGCATCCACCATACTTCTTAACAGCATCCAGGAAGTGTTGACTTGTAACAGCAGGATTGTTATTTGTTTTGCATACTTTAAGCCATAAAACTTTTCGGCTATATCCATCTATGCATCCATGCACTGGGAAGCCATATGGCTTAAGTTTGTCATAGCCATCAACATGCCAAGCATAATTGGGACCTGGGTTGTGGTAAGTTCTTCGCCTAAAGGTTTTGCCCTGCCTTTCCCTCACGCCATCAGGATCCAACTCATTAACAAAAACCCTGATCGTTTCCCTGGGCACTTGGTAACCTTCCCGTTGCAAGGTATGCCACACAGAGCGATAACCAGCTGAAGAACCTGGTCCATCAAGCTCGTGCTGTATTCGTTGTCGAATTAGACTTAAATCATACTCCTTGTTCCTTCGACGAAGACCAAGAGATCTTAGCTTGGTATTAAGTGTTCGTAAGGAGATGTTAATGCCGTGAAACTTGCCAAGGAATTGCATAATCTTCTCGTATGCAAAGCCTTCTCTGAAATAATGCGCGATTAGTTCGTCACACGTATCGTCTCCTCCAGGGATTTGTTCCTCCGCGTTTCGAAAGCCTTGTAAGTGATTTCCGCAAAATGGGCAATATTGAATGTGACCTGAATATTTTGACCGCAAAATGGACAATATTCCTGGTGAAATTCAGCAAAACATTACAAACCAACGCAGATATTTTCGAAAGAAATCTAATATACACTGTCCCACTCTATTAAATATTCGACATATTGCCGCCCACAGTACAGTGCAAAATTCTGGGTTGCTTTAACTTTGTTTTTGCATTGCGATCAAATTTGTTTTTGGATTGCGATCAAATTTGTTTTGCATTGTTCGTGTTTTGCATCGCAAACAAAATCATTTTGCATTCAGCACATTATTTTTGTATCAAATATATTGTTTTTGAATTTAAGGGAATGTTTGTGCATTGACAAATTAATTTGTGAATTGCAGATACGGGTCACCGTAGATACAGTTCAAGTGAGTTTGACGTTTTTTACAACGTTTTAAAAATGCAACAAAGTTAAATTTGTTTGATTATTCGGCGTCATTCTTGTGTGTCATTTATTAATTCATTGAGGCAGAAACGGTCCATTCCTTTGTTTTTATTTTTGAATTGCAAAGAATTTAAAAACCGTCCGCCATATACACATTTTGCACGTGTAATACTTTGGTAATCAGCATATAAATTAGCAATGATTTAGCTACTGATCTATTTATTTAATAACCAACCTTTTATATAAAATTTAAATCAACTTCAATGAAACTCAATATAACTATCTTTTAAACATATAATTAAATAATTTATGAAGGAAAATATTATATTTATAAATTATAACTCAAAAGAGAAAGGAGAAGATAGTTATTATTCTTATGAAATAATTTTCTGTTGCGCAATAGCTAATATTTTTTAATAAGGGCCAGTATTTTCCCATTGGTCCCAGGGACCTACTCTGGCTTCTTGACGCACGCCACTGATACGCTGGACATAAGACGGAATATCGGCTACGTTAATTGCGGTGCAAGTAACAAACGTTTTATCCTACAAAAATAACAATTTTCTTGCCACTACCTTTGCAAATAAAATGTTGTTTGTTCCCTAAAACACTTGAATTGATTTGGTCATTATTGCATTTGGTTCAGTTATTATCCAAGATTTTATGTATTTACTCTTTGTACTTAAAGTAGTCTATTCATGCTTGAGTTAGTCCACAATCAAAGAAAATAAAACGCGGTTATATAAACACATTTTCGTGCATGAAAGGTAACCAAAGTTTCAACTGGTTCTTTTGACTTTACTAAATTTACTTTTCTAATCTAATTGGACGTTCTTTCTTATAATAATCAGCCTAATCCATAAACTTATCACTGAAAAGGAAAGCTCTTGAAATGATGATCTGCCATCTGACTTGATCATTCCTTTGGTCTTAATATTCTGGTTTACGAGGAAAAAAGGCTTTAAATATGCTTCTTCAGTGGATGCCCACAAGATGAGCAAAAAGTTGCTAGAATATGCAACAACAAAACTTGCCCATTTTACTGCTCTCAGAACACGTCAACTTTCATCACATTCACTAATAATCATGAATTCCATATATTGGCTTATGTTAGAGTTACTGCAAAGTAATGATCATTTACTATTGCATGACATCAGAGCTCCGCCCTAGTGTGAGATAATTTTTGTCGAGTTTTTTTTGTAAGATTTTAAATTCATGTGCTCCAATTTTATTGTTTTAAAAAAGTATTCGCTGAAGAAATCTTTACATTTATCAATATATAAACTGGCGATAATTTTACAATAACTATAGTTCTGACTCACCCATTGCTTTTCTTTTTCAAATATGAGCTAGCTAACGATTTCTTGCAATAATTTCGATTTTCTTTGGTTTGCTATTTTTTGACAGTCTTCAGCTGTTCTTGTATATGCAGTCGAGTACAAAGTGTGAATGAATTTTCCAAGCGTCGGTTCTATTTATTTGCTCTACATTTTACTACCTGGAATCTTCCAGTTTGTTCGAAAGGAATGAAAGTTATTCCTTTCCTCTGAGATACGCTGTCAGGATAAGGACGAGGTGCTTTTATGTGTTAACCGCAAGACAGTTTCGACGGAAATTTTCATAATAATGTTTTTGAAAGCATTCAGTCTAAAACATAAAATCTTTTCAAAACGTGCGTGACTACCTGATTTTTCATTACGAAAATATATATTCACTCAAGCTTCATTCACAGTATGTTCATGTAATTTGTTACATTTTGTTTTTTAAATAGTGGTTGGTGGTATAGTGGTTAGTGGTGTAGTACCTGGTGTTATTACTATGGTGAAAGGCATTGTGTGCATGTATGAAAGAAATCTGTCTATGCAAATATCTTTATTTTATTTAGAACCCTCATTCTTAACTTGTAACCATGTGAAAATGCCGTGGCAAGTCAAGTAAAATTGACCATTAGCTCTAAATAGTCTTTTAAAAGACGGTTCGTTTTGTTGTAATCATACATTATTTTATGATGTAGCTACTAATCTATTTTTCAGTGGATTCGATAATTATGTTAAAATCTTGGAGTACATATGTTTGGTGTACAACATTATATCATACATTATCATACATGATATGCGCTAGGCAAGTTAATTGAGGTTATCTTTAGTAACGTTTTAGTTAGTATTGTGACGTTAACTAAACAATGAAAATGGTTGCTTTTGTGCATGTAATTATTTATCATAACAGTTCGTTTTCGCATTGTGGTTTGATTATTGTGGTCAGTTTCGAATTATTTTTTGCTTAGTAACGTTACTGTGAACTGAAAACTAGAATTTTTCATCCATAATATCGAAAATGGGACTGTTAAATGAAAGCGATTTAGCTTGATGTTTTGCCAATAAGTTTAAAGAATTCTCCATGCAAACAATCGAGGCTTAAAACATTTTACTTAAATCTTTAACTAGCTTTGGAGTAATTCCTCAGTCAATGATACCTGAAACTAAATTAATTTTTAGTTGCAATTTGGGGTAATGTGACGGGGGTGGATTTAGAGTGATGGCGAAGGCGGCGCGCGCTTCCCTTTGCCGGAAAAGTACCCAACAAATAGAATAATATAATGAAGTACGAAGTGGTTTTTTCTGAACATAGAAATATATGATGTAGAATAAAATTGTTATTAAGGAATGTGTTAGTTTGCTTTGAGATTGAGGAAGTAATTTTCATTGCTAACATCTCTATGTTCTCAAAGTACTACAGTCAGTCGAGGTCGTTCGGTGCATAAATGTTTAGATTTGAAGTTTTAATGTCAATTTAATTTCATCGATGTTGTAGGTAAAATATATCTTAAAATTCAATGTCAAGCACGTAGAGATTTTCAGCGAATTACGCAATGTGTTAACATAAAATGTTAAATTAATCTCTTGTGAAAAATTCATCGAATGTACAAACATCGTGTGTTAACCATAAAGTCACTTATTACAGGTGAAATTGATAAGTGTTAACTTATTGGATTGTTCTTCTACTTTTCCTCATTTCTTATTAGTTATATTTCTAATAAATTGTTTGATAAATTTTTTCCTGTTTCTTTCGACTTTGTTACGGAAATGTAACACTTGACTTTTATATTACGTATATAATGCGCATTCTAATTAGTTGCCTTGATATTTTGTCAAATGCCATGCGCATAATTTTATGACCTGTGACGTAAGTGGTACGTTGCAAGCTGACGATTTCAAGCTTGTCAATTGTTTATTTATCATCGGCTGCCTAGAAATCACTTAACGCTTCTTTTAGAATCGATTTATCCAAATATTTACCTCGATTCACAGCTGTAGGCAATGTTTGTCATCACGTGTGCGATAGTCATTGATATCGCGTGTCTTCGACGTATGTATTGGTCTTAACAGGCTAATATTTTCACAATGTCGGCAAGTTTCACTAAAAAAATGACAGGTCACTAACACAAAACAGTAATAAAGTGAATGGTTGAACCCCGGGAGTATCATAACATGTTTCTGGATGAAGATCTTCCAGGTTAGTAGAGTCCTGAGGAGGACTGTTGGTATTGATGTAGACTGACGTTTCGACAACCTTAGCGGTACTCATCTTCAGAGTCAACTTAACTCTGACTGACGTCAGCTTTTTATAATAAGCATGACAGACGTAGCTATGATTTTTCAACACGGCCATCGCGAAAGTAATGGTAAGGGTGATTACTCGACGTTTCGTCTTCAACTTCAGCCGTTTTAAATTTAGAGCTTGCTGCAAGCCACGAGAAGGCTTTTGAGTTTTCCAATTTCTACAATTATACTTCATCATATGAGGAGGGAAACGTATGAAATTTTTGCAGACATTTTATCAGAGAATTTTCACTCTTACTGAATTTTACGTTGTTGTTTACATAATTTGTAGTACATTGCTATTTGCGATTAAATGTACTGAAACTAACCAATAACAGTTGAGTGTCATTTCTTGCTCCATGACGATATGTGCTACGTGCAACTGTTAAATTGTTAATTACTTATATTACTAACTCGTCGCCCGTGCTGACTCATCATCTCTGCTGATGGCCTATCACTTTACTCTTAGTTTAGGAGGTAGCACTGCGCATGCGCAGAAATGCTCTCGCGCATGCGCAGATCCTATCTCGCAAAATATTGGAGTTACGGCGATTTTCAATAGCTCATTCGAAAGGGCTCGTCGAGAGCTTTCAGATGAGCTAAATGCGATCGCCGTAGCTCCAGTAGTTTAGGAGATAGCACTGCGCATGCGCAGAATTACTTTCGCGCGTGCGCAGATCCTATCTCGCAAAATATTGGAGTTACGGCGATTTTCAATAGCTCATTCGAAAGGGCTCGTCGACAGCTTTCACATGAGCTAAAGATCATCGTCGTAGTCCCAGTAGTTTAGGAAATAGCACGGCACAGAAATTTCCCTGCGCATGCGCAGATCCTGTTGTGCAAAATATTGGAGTTACGACGAATGTTCGAGAGTCACTTATCAGTGTTAAAACAGGTAAGTTTTAATTGATTGGATTGTTCTTTTACTTTTTGTTTATTCATTTTTTGTTGTATTCGAAATAAATATTTTAATAAGTTTTTTCCTGTTTCTTTCAATTTATGTAACCGTATAACGTAACAAATAAAACTACACTTGAAAGGTCAAATTATGCCATGCATATTAAAGTTTCATCAATTACTATATGTATATCCTAAGAAGCGGCCTTTAGTGATTTTTAGCCTTCATAAAGTTAAGCATGTTCATAATCTTATTCCGAGATTATTTTTCACTCCTAGATGTTTCATGGTTTCATTCCAGATATTGTTGCTTGAGCGAAATATCTTATTTCCAAACGTTTAATTCCAAATATTAATGACTCCATCTCTATCAGCGGTTGCGATGCACCATTCATTGCCATCGTCATGCAGAGCAATTGTCAAAACACCTTTCATGTGAGTAGTTGTTCTGTATGTGAAATAAAATACATTTCTGAGGTGGGGTCGACTTTTGCATTCTTTAATATTAATATTCATAAGTTTAGTAACTTTTTTTGCGATGTAAGAAAGGATCAAGTCGTCTTAACAACAGCATGCAGAAAATCCTACTCGATACTAAAATTATTTTTAAAAATAACTGCCTTTACTCACCAATACACTTTTCAGTATTTTTTCATGCTCTCTCTATCTATAAGAGTGCATGTCTCAAATTCATCAAAAGTGAAGGAAAGTTAAAACGTACGGTAATCAAAGCAATTCTTGGGTTGCAAGTACGTCATAGTCGCCATGTTGGATGATTTTAACAAAAGAATTTTCTTATTTACAATGCAAATTTCATCCAACATAGCCAGCATTCGATTGTTCTCTTACTCTCAGGAGAATGATTGCAACCCACCAATAAGCAAACAGTGACAGCATTTCAATAGAATAATACGAATAATTTCATATTAGTAAGTCTATTGAACTCATTAACAATTCTTTATGCATATGTATTGTATAAAGCAGAAGTGTTCATGCTCTCTAGCATTGCTAAACAATAACTACCTTCACTTGAGCATTAAGAGATACAATGCACTTTGATAATTCGCAAATTGGTAATCTGTGAGTACAATAATTGAAGTTTACACCATACAGTCGAATGCTTCATTTTGGGTTTCAATAATGACGAGGATGGGACACAGAAGCACGCTGCTGTTTTCAATTACAAACGTGTAAGTAATGTACTTTTACCGAGATTTTGAAAGCGTTTTGTAGAAGAGGTTAATAAAGAATGCTGTAACTTAAAGAAGGTACCTAATATAAAGATAAATTTTAAGTATCGTGAAAGTGTACTCACATTTAAATGTTTCATACAAGGATAAGTGTGTATTGAGTATATATGACAGCTGTTGCTGCGCTTTGAGGTTTTTCTTTACATATCGACTGTTTTTTAGTGTATAGTCTTCATATTTTTGAATAATGAGTGACTCTATACTGAACAGAGTCATTTATATATTCGCTGTGATTATCTAATATATTTGCTGCCATTTTTTGCATATTCTTTGGGTAACCCCAACTGTTTCCTTTGCTTCAAGACAAGGTGAAATTTATATAGGGCGTGCGAGTACTTAAAGATAATTGTATTAGCCCAAAATTCTGCTACTTAACTAGCTCCCTCGAATTCAACCATTGTCGCCCCGAAATCCCGATGTAATTTCCCTGAAATCCAGTCACAATATTAAGCCCTTAATAACCGAGCTTGAGGTCTTTACGGAGAAATATCGGACTGATGTCTTCTTGTACAGACCGAGCCCGTAGGGCGAGGTTTGTAGAAAAGACAAAGGTCTGATATTTCTCAGTAAAGACTCGAGAAAGTGAGGTTATTAAAAAGATTATTAGATGGCATTATTTCACCTGAAACAAAGATTGCTTTCTTTCACGTCCTTGCTGTTTTTACGGGTTGGCTTTCACTTTTCTAGTTTTCGTCCATAAAAAATTAATCGTTTCAAATTGTATCGTCAGGATAGTTGAACTGTTTTTTAAGTGTTTTTCCTTCGAATCACATTCGTAAGTAGTTTTTTGTTTCGTTTATTTTGCGTTTTGCTCTGCATTACGAAGTTTGTTTACATTTGACAGTAAATTTACGCATTTCGGACCATGGTCGATTACGGGAAAATAATGAACTGGCAAAAATGTTTCTGAGCCAATCAAAGCGCGCCATGTTTCCGGAAGTGACGCTTACCATATAACAATCAATTAAAGTCTTCTAAATGCTTTTTTGCTTAACTCGTATTCTTACTGCACTGGAAATCCCCCCCTGCGCCTGGATCATCCCGTTGCCGTCGTGCAGGGGCTTAAGTACTTCACTGAAGGAAAACTAAGAATGATCCAAACCCGGTCTCCGAACTTCGATGTCGAACTCCCGGAACCACACCTCCAAACTCATGAATAGTCCAAATACAGAAAACCATACTGGCTCGGACGTCGCCCATGATAAAAAGGTCCGCTCATTGAGCCTAGCTGGCTCCCATCTCAATATTGGCCCAACAGTGAACTTTCTCTCCTTAAATGTCGAAGGATTGTCTATGGCCAAATGTGAATACTTATCAAAACTTCTTCATGATAACAAAGTTGATATTTTCTTTCTACAAGAGACCCATATTGTAGAGAATAGTCCATCATCGAGATACACTATCACAAATTACTCGCTTGTTGACGCCATCTTCCATGAAAAATATGGCACAATGGTTTTTTCAAAACATCCCCAATTAACTTCAGTGATACAATCTGCTTTAACTGAAAATAATGTCCATCGTACTATTGTCCACTATGGCGGAACTACTCTAATTAACATCTATAAACCACCAAATGAGAACTGGCCATCAGCACCTCTAACACACATCAGTCACTCTACAGTTATCACAGGTGATTTCAACAGTCATCATTCAGACTGGGGTTACAGAATGAACAATACAGCTGGTGAAGACATCAGCACATGGACATCACAAAATAATATGCATCTATTGTTTGATCCGCGAGAAAAGGGCACTTTCTTCTCTGCAAGATGGCAGAAGAATACTCTACTGACCTAACATTCGTATCCAAGGATAACAATGACATACCACTCTATTCCTCTCGTCAAGTCCTCGGTTCATTCCTAAAGCCAACACAGACCTCTTCTTATCACAATAGGTCTAAATATTCCCATCACACCATCTCTCCCTAAACCTAGATGGAATTTCCAAAAAGCAAACTGGAGTGATTTCACTAAGTCCATAGAGAGAACATGCCCAAGAATACAACCCGTACAGGAAAACATCCCCCGCTTCACCAAACTCATTCTACGTAGTGCCAGAAAATTTATTCCAAGAGGCCAGCGATCTACTTATATCCCTTACTGCACAGAAGAAAGTCAAACTCTTCTTAAAAGATATGAAGAAACACAGGACCAAAGCATAGCTGAGGAACTCCTAAAATCTCTACAAAAAGGACGTTGCAAGAAATGGCAGGAAACAGTAGAAAACACGGACTTCTGCCACTCAAGCAGAAAGGCATGGAACCTCTTGAAAAAACTTGACCCAGATAAACGCCCGCAAACAACACAGGAGGCACCGATTATCGTTGAAGATATCGCAAAACAAATAAAACAGCGTAGCACCCATAAACCAATCCATAAATTCGAAAAAGAAATCAGACATGAATACCAACGCTTATAAAAATCAAGCCCGGATGACAGCTTTTCTTCAATGCCAGTTAGTAAGCAAGAAGTTGACACTGCAATTAAACAAATGAAAGCTGGCAATTCAGCCGGAATAGATGGTATCTATCCAGACATGATCAAGCATTTAGTCCACAAGGCGATCAACTGGCTTGCATTATCTCTCTCGGATGTTATTGACGAATCAGATACCCCCAGACTTGGAGAGAAGCTAAAATACTTGCCATCCTCAAACCTGGAAAACCCTCAAACGATCCATCAAGTTATCGCCCAATTTCTCTGTTGTGTTGTTTTTTAAACTTCTAGAGAGAATACTACTGACCAGAATAGCACCCTAACTCGACCCCTATATCCCGATGGAACAAGCAGGCTTTCGACCAGGTAGAGATGCCACTGAACAAGTTCTGGCCTTAACGACATACATCGAAATGGGATATGAAAGAAAATAGAAAACTGGAGCTGTATTTATTGATCTATCTGCGGCTTACGACACGGTATGGCACAACAGTTTGATGTATAAGGTAGCGAAATGTATCCCTTGTAAGAAAACACTAAAGCTTTTGAATAAAATGTCTGGATCAAGAATTTATCATGTATGTTTGGGTGACAAAATAAGCAAAAAGAGAACTATAAAAAACGGTGTTCCCCAAGGTTCAGTTCTAGCACCAACTTTGTTCAACATCTATATCAGTGACTTACCACAGACCACCTCTCTCAAACTTGGCTACGCTGATGACTTCGTACTATCACACCAATCTAGCGATATTAAACAAATTCAAGAAACCCTCAGCCATGATACAACAAAACTACAAATCTTTTTCAACAAGTGGTACCTAAATATGAACACAACAAAAACTGTAAGCACCCTCTTCCACTTGGACAATCACAAGGCAAATCTACAACTTGCAATACGTGTAGGCAACTCCAAATTACCATATGACTCATCTCCAAAATACCTGGGTGTGACTTTAGATCGCTCGCTAACATACAAATAGCACATTGAAAACACTGCCACAAAACTGCGAAAACGAAATGGCATAATTAAAAACTGGCAGGAACATCGGGCGCCACTCCAACGGTACTTAGGACATCATCTCTGCCCTATCATACAGTGTTGCAGAATATTGTGCTCCAGTTTGGTCTCGCTCTAAACACGTCAATAAGCTAGATGTATTGCTAAATGACACAATGCGAACAATTTCCGGAACATTAAAATCAACCCCAACCTCTTGGCTACCTGTAATGAGTGCTATAGCTCCACCTAACATACGCAGACAGGAAGCAACACAGAAACAACATCATCGCATTGAAAATACACTAATTGACACTCCACTAAAAACTATTATCCAGTCTGCCCCAACTACTTCGAGACTTAAATCACGAAAACCTTTTTATAACTCCAAGATTGAATCGTTTGACCTCAACAATACATGGAAGGAACAATGGTACGAAAATAAACCAAGGGGTGCTGATCTAATTAAAGATCCCACAAATGTCCCTCATCCTGGTTTCAAGAAGCTAACTTGTAACCGAATAAGATCGAAACAGGGCAGAACAGCTAACAACCTATACCTATGGGGCTATAAAGACTCGCCAACTTGCCCATCATGTAACGCCACCAACCAAACCAGAATATGGACCATATCATCTTGCAATGTCCGTTCACACGCATTGAAGGCGGCTACGCAACAGTGCACAAAGCAGATGATAACTTCGTAAGCTGGCTTGATGAGACACACATGGAGGTGTGACCAGACGAAACTACTACTACAGGAAATCCCGATGTAATTTCTCTGAAATCCAGTTACAATACTCGTATATTATAATCAATTAAAGTCTTCTAAATGCTTTTTTGCTTAACTCGTATTCTTACTGCACTGGTTGATCAGTTCTTCAAAAACGTCAGTTTTGCGATCATGTCTTTTTCATTGAATGTCGGAACGACTGCCTCAAAACCTCAATAAATCCTTTCATTTTTACAAACCTTCGTTTAGGCACACAATTATCTGTCATCGTAGCCCAAAGTGTGATTTTGTTGTCTTCGGACAGCCCAATAATTACCATTCCGTCTGGTGTTATAGCTATGTTCTGTAAAATAAAGTTCACTAAATTTGTCATCTGTTTTTCGCATATGAAACACTTAAACAAAAACTTTGAATTTTGCGTTTAGACTCCACCATTTTTCTCGGCATTAAATATCAACATTACAGAAGTAGTAATTTACGTGTTTATTGCAGGATATATACCTGAATCTCTCTACCATTGTCTGCTTCCAAGACCTTCTCTACCACATAAGATGTTGTGTTCCACACACTCACAAAGTTTCCTGGACCTGATATACTCATCATGTGACCTTCTAGAGGTGAGTAACACAGTTTCGTGACAGTCCCTACAGAGTCGTCTAGTATCATTGCACATGCGCCAGTCTCTGTCTGCCATATTCTAATTGTTGTGTCGTGGGAAGCGCTCACTAAATAATGACCGTCCGGAGAAAATTTTACATCGTTAACGGCATCGCGATGTCCTTTGGCTAGAAAGTGCTTTTCACTATTTTTTTTTTTCATTCCTAAAATATAATCTCCTGCAATATAAAAACTTCAGCTTACTATACAGTACACTATTCATTTAAGAAGCAACGAAAGATTTATTGATTACTATAACACATGCAAATAATGAATAATACGCGACATAATTAATAATTCTTAACTTGCTTGTGGTTATCAATTGTTGTGATTGGCAAATTATAGATACATTCCTAAGTCATTTATCACTAATCAATTCAGTCAAAATACTGTCTAGCTCTTCAGAATTGAGACAGTTAAACGACTTTTGTGACCTTCAATGCGAGACAGGTCAAGTGAGTTTGACGTTTTATACAACGTTTTAAAAATGCAACAAAGTTAAATTTGTTTGATGATTCGGCGTCATTCTTGTGTGTCATTTATTAATTCGTTGAGGGCAGAAACGGTCCATTCCTTTGCTTTATTTTTGAATTGCAAAGAATTTAAAAATCGTCCGTCATATTAACATTTTGCACGTGTTATTCTTTGGTAATCAGCATAAAATTAGCAATGATTTAGCTATTGATCTATTTATTTAATGACCAACCACACATATAAAATTTAAATCAACTTCAATGAAACTCAATATAACTATCTTTTAAACATATAGTTAAATAATTTATGAAGGAAAATATGATATTTATAACTCAAAAGAGAAAGGAGAAGATAGTTATGATTCTTATGAAATAATTTTCTGTTGCGCAATAGCTAATATTTTTTAAGAAGGGCCAGTATTTTCCCATTTGGTTCAGTTATTATCCAAGATTTTATCTATTTATTCTTTGTACTTAAAGTAGTCTATTCATGTTTGAGTTAGTCCACAATCAAAGAAAAGAAAACGCGGTTATATAAACACATTCTCGTGCATGAAAGGTAACCTAAGTTTCAACTGGTTCTTTTGACTTTACTAGATTTACTTTTCTAATCTAATTGAACGTTCTTTGTTATAATAATCAGCCTAATCCATAAACTTATCACTGAAAAGGAAAGCTCTTGAAATGATGATCTGCCAACTGACTTGATCATTTCTTTTGCTCTTAATACTCTGGTTTACGAGGAAAAAAGGCTTTTAAAATCCTTCTTCATTGGATGCCCATAAAATGAGCAAAAAGTTGCTAAAATATGCAACAACAAAACTTGCCCATTTTACTGCTCTCAAAACACGTCAACTTTCATCACATTTACTATAATCATGAATTCCAGTTTAATATCACTAAAAGAAAATTTAATTTAATTAAAAATATCTAGTATAAATGTTGATTTGGCAGAAATTAGTGCAAATGTTATACAGCTTTTAGAATATTATCCAATTATTAGAATATTACGATCACAGTTTCTGCTGAAAACAATTCATACACTTTAATAGCGTTGCGTGGAGTGTCATGATTTGTACGTCATTCATCTTGTCGCACAACACAATGTTCAGCCATTTCTTGTTTTCACCGCCGTCGGAAGCTCTAAGAAGTCTGTTTTAGTCGGAATGGCAGCAGAGACTTTTTCTTCATAATCCTTTCTTACAGAAGAAATCTCGCTGGTTTTACTGTCTTGAATCAATGAGCCAAGATCGTATATATGCCTACTTTCAGCCATGATGACTTCAAAATATAAATAAGCCAAATGCCATAGTCATGTAATTATAATTTTGAAGGTTTGAAGATTTATAACGCTGGCTCAAGTGCACCAGTCAGAATGAAATTTTGGTGTTCGTGGGCTTAAGTGCAACAGTCAGCAGCGATTTCCCACCGTGACGTAGGCTAAAAAACAATGAAATTCGTGACGTTTAGGTGGTTCACTCGGCCAAAGAGACTCGGGACTGTTGCACCAACTGGTGCACTTTTTTCCCCACCGTGACGTAGTGATTCACTATCTAGCCACCGTGACGTAGTGATTCACTATCTAGCCACCGTGACGTAGTAGTACAAATTCAGCTCAGTGTTGCTGATGATGAAACAAATTTTCGCCAAAAATGTCGACACATAAAAACGCCATATTTAGCGACGCATTTTTAAATAATGCGGCTGTAATCAATATGATACTCACATGTAAACAATCTACGAAGGCTTTTAACAATATTTCTCAATGATCAATGTACATCTGTTGTCAATATATTGTCAGTGTTAAGGTATTTAAAGCATTTAGAAACTATAAACGTTCCAATCTGATATATTTCTGGCATTTTGCTCGTATTGATTGTAAGTTATAATGTTGTGAAATATTCAATTTTATGACTGATGCACTCGCATCAGTTGCACCACCCTGGATCCGCCCCTGGTAGATACACTCGTTTAATTGTTTATTTACTATACAATTAATGTTTATTCATCCCTGAACCATTAAAGATGGCTCATCAAAACTCTGTAATCAACCAGTTTCATATTGAAGTATTTTATGTCGCTATTAAATTATAAACTGGCACTTAAAATCTTAAGATTTCTTACCCTTTAACAATTTTTTGCTTCACTTAATTAAGTTACTGTAAAATTTAAATCATAAAGAAGAATCTGAAAGCGTGGGCCCATAGCACAATTATTCTCTCATTATGCTCTCATATCCTGCACTATGGTCAGGCTGGCCTATCTTTCACTCAACTTGCTTAAAAAGTAAATATTTACATTGTTAATAATATCGCTCAATTAAACGATCCTACGTCGGCACATTATATTTTGACATAAACATTACTGAATTATCAATTTATCATGTTTTTTGAGTAATATGAAATGGGAAGAATTTACAGGTAGAATGAATTGTCGAAATGCCAAGTTACATAGCTATTTAATTGAGATGTATTGTTGATTTGTTTCTGGCAAATTCCGCGGTAAAATTTTCTTTTCGATTGTTTTTATATAGCTGGGCAACAAAGATGTGTCAAATTCTTTACGTGGCTATATTTTTAAAATAGGAAGAGCAAATACGCATTGTAGCGCTTGTTGTAGATTTTGATAATTTTTGTTTGTCATAGGTTATGGTGTGCTACGGTGTCTATATATCCATTTAACTATTTGCGTGTTACAAAATTTTAAAGGTACATTTATATCATTGTTGTCATTACTACAGCTAAAAACGATTGGATATGTATTATTTTTTTGACAATTTTGCATTCTTTATTAAAAAAATGAACTCCATGACTTGTTCGAGAACATAAAATTATTTGATAGCTATATAGAATTGCAAGTTAGTTAGTTACTATAAAAAAACAACTCGTCTGTTTGTGGAAATAAGTAATAAGTAATTCAGGCAGCTCATTTTCTCAAAATATTGCAAAGTCAGTTTTGACGCACTTCAATTCCAATGATGTTGTACGGAAATCACATTTCAGAAATCTATTACTGTGTATATAGCCTGTATGGGAAGAGTTTAAAGTGACTGCACAGTATTGCAAAGTCCGATTTGAATTGAGGCAATTGCATGAGTTCCAATGACGTTTTAGGGAAATTACATTTTTTTATAAAACAAAGACTTTATTGTGTTCACGAACTTTAATTTTGCTCTCATTAACGTATTTGTCATGGTGATTGACAATTTAAGTAGTTCTTAAGAACTGTAGAAAACTGAAATAAAGATAGTTATAAAATTATGGTGAAGTCTGCCGAAATGCATCGTGTCATTTTAATTTTATGTAATATCCTCATTTTGGTGTTCAACTGTTCTTTGAAGAACTACTCAATTGTCAATCACCACGACAAATACGCTAATCAATGCAAGAATTAAAATATTTTCTTAAATTGAAAACAAAAGACAGCAAAGCAAAGCATTTGAGCTTTTGCAAACGACAAAGTGACAATCTATTAACTGTTAAGCGGTAGCAAGCCATCTCAAGAGTTGCATGGTCATGCTCTGTAAGTTTTTAACACGATATCATTGTTGGTTTCCTAATGGATATTGTTTTTACAGTGAACAAACACCAAATTACGTACATAGCTGTGAAGGACTTGCTGCGGTTAACCGTTATAAACGCGACCCAAAAGTTAACGTCAATGTCGTTAATTCTTTTATGCTATCTTTTGGGTCTTGCTTTGTCAGTTGTTCAGTGTTGATTTATTTATAACTTATTCAATATATGCAATCAAACACTACATATTAGCATCGTTTTGTAATATGATTATTAGTTTTTATAACATCGATGTACGCCGGTGTATTGGCTTATTACACAAATAATATTCCGGTTATGCATCTTCATATTTTTCATTTGTTAAAGCAATGGTTTCTGTTTGTAGGCAGCGGTTAAAAATATTAACTTCTTGCACAACTCTCTTTTGTAGTTTAACGGATTTTTTTGAGACCGAAATCTAACCGAGATTGCAGGATATTTTTATTCATATATAAATCATGTATAATATTAAACAATCACTGTCGGGCACCATAAGATATTTTTTACCACTATGTGGATTAAGCTTGTGCATACGGCCTGGTTTTCATGTCTGTTCATAAGCATTTGATATTCATTTTGTCGTTTGCCGAAGAATAGACTGAGTAGTCTCCTTTGACCGCTTGCTGTCAGAAGAAGTTTTGTATTTTACTAAAGTAAAGTTTTCCATGTAACTAATCAGATCTACACAGAAATATTCGATGGATTTTCGCTTTCTAATATTTCGATATCATTGCTTATTTTAGTTGTTTATTGCAGCATGTCTTTGATATGCATTGACCTGTACATTACAGACAATGAAAATAATATATTCGCCCACGACTGCTGTCATGCTGGGTTATTATAAGGACACATACGTGCAAATATTGGTTGCTTTGTGTTTCGTGAGCATCTATGGTATTCTCATTCAGTAATTCAAACCATATTAGGCGCTAAATTTGTCTCTGGCATTATAGAAATGCTTTGAAAAGATAGCTTAGCTTTACTCGTAAAATATTTTAAATTTTGAATGTTTTCGTCCAACATTTCGTGTGAACGATCGGAATGCTACTGTAACAGTCTCAGACATTCCACACTACATTCGATACATAAGAACCTGAAGATAGAAATCTAGTTATGTTATCGTAGATATTAATTCAAGCTTGACTTATACAAAGATACTCTTAACACATGTATAGAATAAACAATTATCTATTGAGCTGCTAAAAAAAAAAAAAATTTGTGAAATTCCTTAATAGATAGTGTGATAAATTGTGCTTGATGTAAAAGAAACTGCAGGAAAACGTTTTTCGTCTGTAATTGTTGTAATTGTTGTAATTCGATCGGTGATGGACGTTTGCAGCAATTACAACTATAAGTGAACGCGCGTTGTCATTGTTGTAATTGTTGCAATTTAATCGCAGACAAATCGAGAGCTGTTCTAGAAGTTGAACTTGTCTAACTTTTACAACATTTACAACATAAGAAATTTACACGTGAACGATTATCGGTGATGGCAGTTCATCTTTACTTTCGAATTCTTGTACGATAAATGATCAAATTTGGTAACAGTAAGTATCACCTGAATTACAACAACTACAACTATTTATGAATAGGTAGTGTTGTAAATCATTTGTAATGTATCAAATCAGTTGGAATGTATCGAATCAGTTGGAATGTATCAAATCAGTTGGAATGTATCAAATCAGTTGGAAGGTATCGCTGATGAAATTACAGCAATTACAATTGTATGCGAAGTACGCTTAAACAGGCGATGACGAAATTGTCTGTACTGACTCATGCTCTAACTACACCTATGCGCGTTAAATGTCATATGCTATATCTTGCCAAAAGTTTTTTGCTCGAATTTGTACTCACAAAGGCAAGTGGGCTAAACAGACAAGTATTTTAGTAGAGTCGTCAAATTTTACTCTAAACCAAAACGAATTTATCGTTATATCTTCCCGAAATAATCTGTTGCAGTAGATGCAAATTTTGTATTGTTATGTGTATGTATAGTTTTGTATTTACTTATCTGATGAGATATTGTGTAAATGTGTACGTTATATTAATCATTGAAAATAAAGAAGACTATTTATCCAACCCCTATTAGTCTGATGATGTCTTTGGAATAAAGACAAAATATTACACAATCTGTTGTCTAAAACTCTTGTATCATTTTGATTATTAAGAAAACCCTATTAAAGTCTGCCATCGAAAATTTTATACTTATTAAAAAATGTTTTATTAAATCTTACAATGCTTTCCTTAAGGTGTGTAGAGTTATGGTTATTCAGAGACACGAATGTCTTCTAAATAACCACGAGAGAACTAAATGAAATATTTTAAGACTATATAATGATTACCTTTTCTTTTTCTTCAGTCCGTTCACTTTGGACTCATAAGCAAATTTCACTATAGACACTTTGTAAAATATGTATTTTTATACAGTGCGTACATTGTTAGTCGCCCACGTATTGCTGCAAATGACTTTTTTGCGTCATTGTTTCAATATCTCTTTGTATAGAGAGTTTTCGTAATAACCTCATCCTTGTCTGCACGGCGGACAACGTATATGTATGTTGAATTCCCAAATATTTTGCCAACAAAATTTGTTATTAAATCATTAGCGGATTCAGCGTTCGGCAAAATAAAGTTATATAGCTCAATTCGATTTTATATTCGAAAACTACTTTCAAAAACACTATCGGTTCGGAATTTCTAATGAATATAAGTTTACCAATGCACTTGCATCTAAAATGTTTGTAAACTTGTAACTATATTGTAAAAGGAGCTGCAGTAATTTATTTTTTGACGTACCCCGGTCCGGCACTGTTTTTATTAACAGCAAGCTAACTTGATTAGATCTTATGACGTATATTGGCTTATGTTAGAGTTACTGCAAATTAATTATCATTCAGTATTGCATGAGATCAGAGCTCCGCCCTACTGTGAGATAATGTTTGTCAGTTTTTTTTGTAAGATTTTAAATTCATGTGTTCCATTTTTATTATTTTAAAAAAGTATTCGCTGAAGAAATCATTACATTTACCAATATATAAACTGCCAATAATTTTACAACAACTGTAGTTTTGATTCACCCATTGCTTTTCTTTTTCCAATATGAGCGAGCGAACGATTTCTCACAATAATTTCGATTTTCTTTGGTTTGCTATTTTTTGACAGTCTTCAGTTGTTCTTGTATGTGCAGCCGAGTACTAAGTATGAATGAATCTCCAAGCGTCGGTTCTATTTATTTGCTCTACTTTTTGCTACCTGAAATGCGCTGTCAGATTAAGGATGATGTGTTTTTTTATGTCAGTTTCGACGGAAATTTTCAACCTGATTTTTTTCAGGTCAGGCCTGATCAGTGGCTACCTGATTTTTTTCATTACAGAAATATATTATTCACTCAAGCTTCATTCACAGTATGTTCATGTAATTTGTTACATTTTTGTTTTTTAATTAGAGTTTGGTGGTATAGTGGTTAGTGGTGTATAGTACCTGGTGTTATTACTATGGGGAAAGGTATTGTGTCTATATAAAGAAATCTATCTGTGCAAATATCTTTATTTTATTTTAAAACCCTTTCATTCTTAACTTGTAATCATTTGAAAATGCCGTGGCAAGTCAAGTAAAATTGACCATTAGCTCTAAATAGTTTTTTAAAAGACGGTTCGTTTCGTTGTAATCATACATTATTTTATGATGTAGCTACTGATCTGTTTTTCATTGGATTCGATAATTATGTTAAAATCTTGGAGTACATATGTTTGGTGTACAACATTATATCATACATTATCATACATGATATGCGCTAGGCAAGTTAATTTAGGTTATCTTTAGTAACGTTTTAGTTAGTATTGTGACGTTAACTAAACAATGAATATGGTTGCTTATGTGCATGTAATTATTTATCATAACATTTCGGTTTCGCATTGTGGTTTTACTATTGTGGTCAGTTTCGAATTATTTTTTGCTTAGTAACGTGAATGTGAACTAAAAACTAGAATTTTTCATCCATAATATCGAAAATATGATTGTTAAATGAAAGCGATTTAGCTTGATGTTTTGCCAATAAGTTTGAACAATTCTCCATGCAAACAATCGAGGTTCAAAACATTTTACTTAAATCTTTAACTAACTTTGGAGTAATTCCTCAGTCAATGATACCTGAAACTAAATTACTTTTTAATGGAAATTTAGCGTGGGTAATGTGACGGGGGGCGGATTTAGAGTGATGGGCGAAGCGGCGGCGCGCGCTTCCCCTTTGCCGGAAAAGTACCCAACAAATAGAATAATATAATACAAAATGACAGGCCAGTTACAGTTTCCAAACTAATTCAAAGGGTTCGGCTTCCTCTTTCATAATCTCTTGGAATCATGAAACATTTTATATGGTTGATTCAAATTACGGATTTAAACTTTGCGTTCTTCGCATATATTCATATTTTTGCCCTAAAATCATTACGGTGTTTTTCATCTGTGATTATTTCAAAAATAATCGGACAAAAAAGCTTTAATTTCTCTATCCTTAAGCCAATACTTGTATCCACAGCATCTTGGTGTCACGATGGAAAATGTGCGAGAATACAGAAGTTTCCATTTACCAAAAATTTGTACTTATCATTTACTCAACATTAAGACTCCAGACATTAGTCTCCATGAAAGGTGTTTAGTTTATTTTCTTTCAAATCCCGTTCATCCAGGTGTACACAAGCTATATTGCTCTGAATCTTCATATTTATAATTTGTGTTTTATATCACTGTAACAGAAATTTAAAGTAAACTCATTCGATAAATATCTTCATTAACAAGATATTCGTGCGAACGTAGCATAACTTCTAAATGTTTTTTCTTTATACATGTTTTCTAATAACCGTTTGATTGTGCTTCATTTATTCCTGTCTTGTTCCAAGCAGAAGTATGATCCAAAAACTACTGATTCTTAAACCATTTCTATCATAGTTTGCTGTCTTCTTACGCAGTCTTCACACTCTTCATTCTTTCCACAACTTTTTATCGAATACATTATTCCTTTCTTACGATGACACAGATTACAGTCCAGAATGAGTATTGAGATAAGGACAGTCGAGAGAATGAAGGCAACTAGCATCATTTTAGGTGATGTAATGTAAACAAATAATCCTTTATTTAGCACCCGGGGTCGACTTTCTGTAGAGAAATTTTATGGAAATAAGATCATGAAGCAAATCGTAAAAGATGTTTATTTTTAAATTTTTCTCAAAAGTTGTGCACATCTAATTACACACAGTACGCTTTTTGGTTAAATTTTTCAATCATAATTGAAAATTTTTTACCTGGATCACTGCTTCTGTTATTGGAAAGTGGACTTTTATGGACTTTTGTATTCCAAAAATTGCACGATGAGTGATTCCTGACAATTTCATATGGGGTTGAACCATCTAATGTTACTGTTTTGACAATCTTCATTTTCTCTGTTGCTTTGCAACCAGGCAAGCAATGAGTGAATGGGATAAAGAGATAATTTAAAAGAACCTTTGTATATTCACTGTGCAGATGAAAACGAGGTTGTGGATGCTTGCAATAGTCATTACATGTTCTCACGTTTGGTGGATTGTATTTTACTTTTGTTGTAAATTCTGTTTCGTTAACTGTAAACACAAAAGGAAAGGCGTTTCAAATTTAAATCTCAGTTTAAATTTCAATTAAATTCAGAAGTCCTTACTTTCGTTTGAAGATAGATTCTTGTGTTGATCGAAGTTCAAGGCTGTTGAGTTTGTACTCATGTAACAAGAAGTGTGATTATATACAACATATTTATAAAATTTTGTGTAGTTTTTTAAATCAGGAACGACAATCTCGACTTCTGTCCAAGTCATAGGTTGGGGCCAACATAATGAACATGTAGGATTTTTTTCTTTTTTGATGATACATCGTTGAACTTTAACATAATATGGCTCCCTGTCCTTGGGAATGTCAGTGAAGTTTTCATTATAAATTGAGACAACTTCTTGCTTCAGGACTGAAACAATAGAAAATGAATATTAACGTTAACTTTTTTTCATCGTGATTCAAATCATTACTTATTTTTGTACCTGTTTTTTCGATAGTAGCCTTGTTCTCTGTTTCACTATGCACAATCTTGCTCATGAACACTACACATATTATACATGTATATTTGAAATTGTTAAAGATACCTAAAAAAGACAAAGATTGTTTTTCAGAAAATTCATCGTTTAATGCTCATTACTGCACACGAGAACTGCTCATTTTATGAAGCATTTATTTTATCGTGAAAAAGTACAAGGGATTTTGGGTTATGGTGTGTTGTGTTTCAGTAAATCACCCAATTATATTATTAACAAAATAAATTCATTAATCGTAGATTTATGTCAACAAAAAAATTTGTCAACACAAATGAAAGTATCTTTAACTGTCATATTTATAAGAAATTGATGAAATAAGTTTTTTTGAAGACTAAATTGATGCATTTCTCCATCATTAAGAAACATGCGTTGCTCACCCATTTGTTCTCTTTTTTGCAAGCTGATTTCTCAAAGATATCTTGTACAATGTCAGGTGTATTGTCTCTCTTATAATTCACAACTTAGCTTCGCTTTTATAAATAATGAGTTCTGAAAGTCTTTTATACTCTAATTTCAATAGCATGGTTTTATAAACCTCAAAATTTAAGATTTTAACCACAATTGAGATGGAAAGTAGTCTTCAAAGACATCCTATATTTTGATAAGTACTATGAATATATTTGAACGGAATGTCATTCATATGTAATCATTATGTAGGTACTCTCATTTAATTGTTTATTTACTATACAATCAATGTTTATTCATCCCTGAACCATTGAAGATGGCTCGTCAAAACTCTGTAATGCAACCAGTTTTATATTGAAGTATTTTATGTCGCTATTAAATTATAAACTGGCACTTAAAATGTTAAGATTTCTTACTCTTTAACCATTTTTTGCTTCACTTAATTAAGTTACTGTAAAATTCAAATCATAAAGAAGAATCTGAAAGCGTGGGCCCATAGCATAATTATTCTCTCATTATTCTCTCATATCCTGCACTATGGTCAGGCTGGCCTATCCTTCTCTCAACTTGCTTAAAAAGTAAATATTTACATTGTTAATCATATCTCTCAATTAAACGATCCTACGTCGGCACATTATATTTTGACGTAAACATTACTGAATTATCAATTTATCATGTTTTGTGAGTAATATGAAATGAGAAGAATTTTTAGGTAGAATAAATTGTCAAAATGCCAAGTTACATAGCTATTTAATTGAGATGTAATTGTTGATTTGCTTCTGGAAAATTCCGCAGTAAATTTTTCTTTTCGATTGTTTTTATATAGCTGGGCAGCAAAGATGTGTCAAATTCTTTACGTGGCTATATTTTTAAAATAGGCGGAGCAAACACGCATTGTAGCGCTTCTTGTAGATTTTGATAATTTTTGTTTGTCATGGGTTATGGTGTGCTACGGTGGCTATATATCCATTTAACTATTTGCGTGTTACAAAATTTTAAAGGTACATTTATATCATTGTTGTCATTACTACAGCTAAAAACGATTGGATATGTATTATTTTTTTGACAATTTTGCATTCTTTATTCAAAAAATGAACTCCATGACTTGTTCGAGAACATAAAATTATTTGATAGCTATATAGAATTGCAAATTAGTTAGTTACTATATAAAAAACAACTCGTCTGTTTTTGGAAATAAGTAATAAGTAATTCAGGCAGCTCATTGCTCTCAAAATATTGCAAAGTCAGCTTTGAACGCAATTCAGTTCCAATGATGTTGTAGGGAAATCACATTTCAGAAATCTATTACTGTGTATATAGCCTGTATGGGAAGAGATTAAAGTGACTGCACAATATTGCAAAGTCAGATTTGAATTTAGACAATTGCATGAGTTCCAATGACGTTTTAGGGAAATTACATTTTTTTTATAAAACAAAGACTTTATTGTGGTCACGAACTTTAATATTGCTCTGATTAACGTATTTGTCTTGGTGAACGACAATTTAAGTAGTTCTTAAGAACTGTAGAAAACTGAAATAAAGATAGTTATAAAATTATGGTGCAGTTTGCCGAAATGCATCGTGTCATTTTAATTTTATGTAATATCCTCATTTTGGTGTTCAACTGTTCTTTGAAGAACTACTCAATTGTCAATCACCACGACAAATACGCTAATCAATGCAAGAATTAAAATATTTTCTTAAATTGAAAACAAAGACAGCAAAGCAAAGCATTTGAGCTTTGCAAACGACAAAGTGACAATCTATTAACTGTTAAGCGGTAGCCTAGCCATCTCAAGAGTTGCATGGTCATGCTCTGTAAGTTTTAACACGATATCATTGTTGGTTTCCTAATGGATATTGTTTTACAGTGAACAAACACCAAAATACGTACATAGCTGTGAAGGACTTGCTGCGGTTAACTGTTATAAACGCGACCCAAAAGTTAACGTCAATGTCGTTAATTCTTTCATGCTATCTTTGGGTCTTGCTCTGTCAGTTGTTCAGTGTTGATTTATTTACAACTTATTCAATATATACAATCAAATACTACATATTAGCATCGTTTTGTAATATGATAATTAGTTATTATAACATCGATGTACGCCGGTACTTATTACACAAATAATATTCCGGTTATACATCTTCATATTTTTCATTGTTAAAGCAATTGTTTCTGTTTGTATGCAGCGGTTAAAATATTAACTTCTTGCACAACTCTCTTTCGTAGTTTAAGGGATTTTTTGAGACCGAAATCAAACTGAGATTGCAGGATATTTTTACTCATATATAAATCGTATAATATTAAACAATCACTGTCGGGCACCGTAAGATATTTTTACCACTATGTGGATTAAGCTTGTGCATACGGCCTGGTTTTCATGTCTGTTCATAAGCATTTGATATTCATTTTGTCGTTTGCCGAAGAATAGACTGAGTAGTCTCCTTTTGACGGCTTGCTGTCAGAAGAAGTTTTGTATTTTACTAAAGTAAAGTTTTCCATGTAACTAATCAGATCTACACATAAATACTGATGGTTTTCCTTTCTAATGTTTCGATATCATTGCTTATTTTAGTTATTTATTGCAGCATGTCTTTGATATGCATTGACCTGTATATTACAGACAATGAAAATAATATATTCGCCCACGACTGCTGTCATGCTATTCATTTTGTCGTTTGCCGAAGAATAGACTGAGTAGTCTCCTTTTAACCGCTTGCTGTCAAAAGTCTCCTTTTGACCGCTTGCTGTCAGAAGAAGTTTTGTATTTTACTAAAATAAAGTTTTCTATGTAACTAATCAGATCTACACATAAATATTCGATGGGTTTTCCCTTTTTAATGTTTCGATATCATTGGTAATTTTAGTTATTTATTGCAGTATGTCTTTGATATGCATTGACCTGTACATTACAGACAATGAAAATAATATATTCGCCCACGACTGCTGTCATGCTGGGTTATTATAAGGACAAATATTGGTTGCTTTGTGTTTCGTGAGCGTCTATGGTATTCCCATTCAGTAATTCAAACCATATTAGGAGCTAAATTTATCTCTGGCATTATAGAAATGCTTTGAAAAGATAGTTTAGCTTTACTCGTAAAATATTTTAAATTTTGAATGTTTTCGTCCAAGATTTTGTGTGAACGATCGGAATGTTACTGTAACAGTCTCAGACATTCCACACTACATTCGATACATAAGAACTTGAAGATAGAAATCTAGCTATGTTATCGTAGATATTAATTCAAGCTTGACTTATACAAAGATACTCTTAACACATGTATACAATTAAACAATTATCTCTTGAGCTGCTAAAAGAATAAAAATTTGCGAACTTCCTTAATTGGTAATGTCATAAAGAGTGCATGATTTAAAAGAAACTGCAGGAAAACGTTTTTCGTCTGTCAGCACCAACTTTACCATAAAGCCTAGTTCACATATAGTTGTAATTGTTGTAATTCGATCGGTGATGAACGTTCGCAGCAATTACAACTATAAGTAAACGCACGTTGTCATTGTTGTAATTGTTGTAATTTAATCGCAGACAAATCGAGAGCTGTTCAAGAAGTTGAACTTGTCCAACTCTTACAACATTTACAACATAAGAAATTTACACGTGAACGATTATCGGCGATGGCAATTCATCTTTACTTTCGAATTCTTGTACGATAAATGATCAAATTTGATACGAGTAAGTATCACCTGAATTACAACAACTACAACTATTTATGAATAGGTAGTGTTGTAAATCATTTGTATTGTATAAAATCAGTTGGAATCCGAATGTATAAAATCATTTGAAATGGATGAAATCAGTTGGAATGTATCAAATCAGTTGGAGTGTATCGAATCAGTTGGAATGTATCATATCAGTTGGAATGTATCGCTGATGAAATTACAGCAATTAGAATTGTATGCAAAGTACGTTTAAACAGGCGATGACGAAATTGTCTGTAATGAGTCATGCTCTAACTACACCTATGCGCGTTAAATGTCATATGCTATATCTTGCCAAAAGGTTTTTTTGCTCGAATTTGTACTCACAAAGGCAGGTGGGCTAAACAGACAAGTATTTTAGTAGAGTCGTCAAATTTTACTCTAAACCAAGACGAATTTGTCGTTATATCTTCCCGAAATAATCTTTTGCTGTAGATGCAAATTTTGTATTGTTATGTGTATGTATACTTTCGTATTTACTTATCTGATGACATATTGTGTAAATGTATACGTAATATTAATCATTGAATATGAAGAAGACTATTTATCCATCCCCTGTTAGTCTGATGATGTCTTTGGAATAAAGACAAAATATTACACAATCTGTTGTCTATAACTCTTGTATCATTTTGATTATTAAGAAAACGAGATGTCTGTTTTCGGAATTTGTTTTATTTTATTTTACTTAAAATTGTCTGCTTGTCCTGGTTATTAATCCCCTATTTATCTTACCAAAACATTGATTAAACAAAAAGAAACCGTTGACTAACATAGGTGGGGTTTCCTTTGAAATACGCATAAATCACTACAATATCACAGAAACGAACTGTTGAAATTCTTAACATATTAATGTTCAATAAAATACTTTATTATAGACAACCCTATTAAAGTCTGCCATCGAAAATTTTACACTTATTAAAAAATGTTTTATTAAATCTTACAATGCTTTCCTTATGGTGTGTAGAGTTATGGTTATTTAGAGACACGAATGACTTCGAAATAACCACGAGAGAACTAGATGAAATATTTAAGACTAAATAATGATTACCTTTTGCTTTTTCTTCAGTCCGTTCACTTTACACTCGCAAATTTAACTATAACACTTTGTAAAATAGGTATTTTTATACAATACGTACATTGTTAGTCACGCACTCATTACTGCAAATGACGTTTTTTGCGTCATTGTTTCATTATCTCTTTGTATAGAGAGTTTTTGTAATAACGTCATCCTTGTTTGCACGGCGGAAAACGTCTATGTATGTTGAAGTTCCAAATATTTTTTGCCGACAAAATTTGTTTTTAAATCATAAGCGGACTAAGCGTTCGGCAAAATAAAGTTATATAGCTCAATTCGATTTTATATTCGAAAAATACGTTCAAAAACACTATTGGTTCGGAATTTCTAATGAATATAAGTTTACCAATGCACTTGCATCTAAAATGTTTGTAAACTTGTAAATATATTGTAAAAGGAGCTGCAGTAATTTATTTTTTGACGTACCCCGGTCCGGCACTGTTTTTATTAATAGCAAGCTAACTTGATTAGATCTTATGACGTATATTGGCTTATGTTAGAGTTACTGCAAATTAATTATCATTCAGTATTGCATGAGATCAGAGCTCCGCCCTACTGTGAGATAATGTTTGTCAGTTTTTTTTGTAAGATTTTAAATTCATGTGCTCCATTTTTATTATTTTAAAAAAGTATTCGCTGAAGAAATCATTACATTTACCAATATATAAACTGCCGATAATTTTACAACAACTGTAGTTTTGACTCACCCATTGCTTTTCTTTTTCCAATATGAGCGAGCGAACGATTTCTCACAATAATTTCGATTTTCTTTGGTTTGCTATTTTTTGACAGTCTTCAGCTGTTCTTGTATGTGCAGCCGAGTACAAAGTATGAATGAATCTCCAATTGTCAGTCTATTTATTGCTCTACTTTTTGCTAACTGGAATCTTCCAGTTTGTTCGAAAGGAGTGAAAGTTCTTCCTTGCCTCCGAAATGCGCTGTAAGAATAAGGATGATGTGTTTTTATGTGCTAACCGCAAGTCAGTTTCGACGGAAATTTTCATGTTGTTTCAGAAAAATGTTTTTGAAAGCATTCAGTCCAAAACATAAAATCTTTTCGTAAAACATGTGTGGCTACCTGATTTTTTTCATTACAGAAATATATTATTCACTCAAGCTTCATTCACAGTATGTTCATGTAATTTGTTACATTTTGTTTTTAAATAGAGTTTGGTATAGTGGTTAGTGGTGTATAGTACCTGGTGTTATTACTATGGGGAAAGGCATTGTGTCTATATAAAGAAATCTGTCTGTGTAAATATCTTTATTTTATTTTAAAACCCTTTCATTCTTAACTTGTAATCATGTCAAAATGCCGTGGCAAGTCAAGTAAAATTGACCATTAGCTTTAAATAGTCTTTTAAAAGACGGTTCGTTTTGTTGTAATCATACATTATTTTATGATGTAGCTACTAATCTGTTTTCAGTGGATTCGATAATTATGTTAAAATCTTGAGTACATATGTTTGGTGTACAACATTATATCATACATTATCATACATGATATGCGCTAGGCAAGTTAATTGAGGTTATCTTTAGTCACGTTTTAGTTAGTATTGTGACGTTAACTAAACAATGAAAATGGTTGCTTATGTGCATGTAATTATTTATCATAACAGTTCGGTTTCGCATTGTGGTTTTATTATTGTGGTCAGTTTCGAATTATTTTTGCTTAGTAACGTGACTGTGAACTAAAACTAGAATTTTCATCCACAATATCGAAAATGTGATTGTTAAATGAAAGCGATTTAGCTTGATGTTTTGCCAATAAGTTTGAAGAATTCTCCATGCAAACAATCGAGGCTTAAAACATTTTACTTAAATCTTTAACTAGCTTTGGAGTAATTCCTCAGTCAATGATACCTGAAACTAAATTAATTTTAGTTGCAATTTGGGGTAATGACGGGGTGGATTTAGTGATGGGCGAAGCGGCGGCGCGCGCCTTTGCCGAAAAACTAACAAATAGAATAATATAATACAAAATGATTAGTACGAAGTGGTTTTTTTGGAACATAGAAATATATGATGTAGAATAAAATTGTTATTAAGAATGTTAGTTTGCTTTGAGATTGAGGAAGTAATTTTCATTGCTAACATCTCTATGTTCTCAAAGTACTACAGTCAGTCGAGGTCGTTCGGTGCATAAATGTTTAGATTTGAAGTTTTAATGTCAATTTAATTTCATCGATGTTGTAGGTAAAATATATCTAAAAATTTAATGTCAAGCACGTAGAGATTTTCAGCGAATTACGCAATGTGTTAACATAAAATGTGTTAAATTAATCTCTTGAAAAAATTCATCGAATGTACAAACATCAAGTGTGTTAACCATAAAGTCACTTATTACAGGGTAAATTGATAAGTTTTAACTCATTGGATTGTTCTTCTACTTTTCCTCATTTCTTATTAGTTGTATTTCTAAATAAATTGTTTGATAAATTTTTTCCTGTTTCTTTCGACTTTTTTACGGAAATGTAACACTTGACTTTTATATTACGTACATAATGCGCATTCTAATTAGTTGCCTTGATATTTTGTCAAATGCCATGCATAATGTATACTACCCACGTATAATTGATGTTTTCAGGACATCTAAATAAGACAAAAAGTCTTGCATTAAAGAAATATATATCCATCAAAACACAAGAATTAAAATTGATGTCATTTGACAAAGTCGTCGCTATCAACGAAATTAGTTGATGTTGTATTCTAATATAATATGAGCCCAACAATAATTTTAAACATATCATAAACAATTTGGTTTTATGAAATTTATTTAAAGAGTGACGTTTAGTTTTACTCAAGATATTTCAGACTAATTAGGTGTCTTGAGTAAAATGTCTTGACCAATTAGGTGTCTTCAGACTAACTAGATGTCTTGGGTAAAGACGAAACGTCACTCTTTTAATAAATTTCATAAAACCAAATTGTTTTTGTCTATGTTTAAAATTATTTGTTGGGCTCTAATATTTATATTGAGAATTGTTTCCACCTGGCACTTCGTTGGCAACAATATTGATGCTGTAATATTTATTTAAGTAGTACATGAAACGAGTTTTGGAGAGTGCGTACGTAATTAATATTCTCCACGGAGGCAATAATGCAATTAAAATAGTTAGGAAAACACGGCAATTTTATGACCTGTGACATAAGTGGTACGTTGCAAGCTGACGATTTCAAGCTTGTCAATTGTTTATACATCATCGGCTGCCTAGAAATCACTTAACGCTTCTTTAGAATCGATTTATCCAAATATATTCCTTGATTCACAGCTGTAGGCAATGTTTGTCATCACGTGTGCGATGGTCATTGATATCGCGTGTCTTCGACGTATGTATTGGTCTTAACAGGCTAATATTTTCACAATTTCGGCAAGTTTCACCAAAAAACGACAGGTCACTAACACAAAACAGTAATAAAGTGAATGGTTGAACCCCGGGAGTATCATAACATGTTTGTGAATGAAGATCAGCCAGGTTAGTTGAGTCCTGAGGAGAACTGTTGGTATTGATGTAGACTGACGTTTCGACAACCTTAGCGGTACTCATCTTCAGAGTCAACTTAACTCTGACTGACGTCAGCTTTTTATAATAAGCATGACAGACGTAGCTATGATTTTTCAACACGGCCATCGCGAAAGTAATGGTAAGGGTGATTACTCTCGACGTTTCGTCTTCAACTTCAGCCGTTTTAAATTTAGAGCTAAGCTGCTAAGCCACTAGAAGGCTTTTGAGTTTTCCAATTTCTACAATTATACTTCATCATATAGCGAGGAGGGAAACGTATGAAATTTTTTGCAGACATTTTATCAGAGAATTTTTCACTCTTACTGAATTTTACGTTGCTGTTACATAATTTGTAGTACATTGCTATTTACGATTAAATGTACTGAAACTAACCAATAACAGTTGAGTGTCATTTCTTGCTCCATGACGACATGTGCTACGTGCAACTGTTAAATTGTTAATTACTTATATTACTAACTCGTCGCCCGTGCTGACTCATCATCTCTGCTGATGGCCTATCACTTTACTCTTAGTTTAGGAGGTAGCACTGCGCATACGCAGAAATGCTCTCGCGCATGCGCAGATCCTATCTCGCAAAATATTGGAGTTACGGCGATTTTCAATAGCTCATTCGAAAGGGCTCGTCGAGAGCTTTCAGATGAGCTAAATGCGATCGCCGTAGCTCCAGTAGTTTAGGAGATAGCACTGCGCATGTGCAGAATTACTTTGCGCGTGCGCATATCCTATCTCGCAAAATATTGGAGTCACGGCGATTTTCAATAGCTCATTCGAAAGGGCTCGTCGACAGCTTTCACATGAGCTAAAGATCATCGCCGTAGTCCCAGTAGTTTAGGAAATAGCACGGCACAGAAATTTCCCTGCGCATGCGCAGATCCTGTTGTGCAAAATATTGGAGTTACGACGAATGTTCGAGAGTCACTTATCAGTGTTAAAACAGGTAAGTTTTAATTGATTGGATTGTTCTTTTACTTTTTGTTTATTCGATTTTTGTTGTATTCGAAATAAATATTTTAATAAGTTTTTTCCTGTTTCTTTCAATTTATGTAACCGTATAACCCAACAAATAAAACTATACTTGAAAGGTCAAATTATGCCATGCACATTAAAGTTACATCAATTACTATATGTGTATGCTAAGAAGCAGCCTTTAGTGATTTTTGGCATTCATAAAGTTAAGCATGTTCATAATCTTATTCCGAGATTATTTTCCACTCCTAGATGTTTCATGGTTTCATTCCAGATTTTGTTGCTTGAACGAAATATCTTATTTCCAAACGTTTAATTCCAAATATTAATGACTCCATCTCTATCAGCAGTTGCGATGCACCATTCATTGCCATCGTCATGCAGAGCAATTGTCGTAACACCTTTCATGTGAGGAGTTGTTCTGTATGTGAAATAAAATACATTTCTGAGGTGGGGTCGACTTTTGCATTCTTTAATATTAATATTCATAAGTTTAGTAACTTTTTTTGCGATGTAAGAAAGGATCAAGTCGTCTTAACAACAGCATGCAGAAAATCCTACTCGATACTTAAATTATTTTTAAAAATAACTGCCTTTACTCACCAATACACTTTTCAGTATTTTTTCATGCTCTCTCTATATATAGGAGTGCATTTCTCAAATTCATCAAAAGTGAAGGAAAGTTAAAACGTACGGTAATCAAAGCAATTCTTGGGTTGCAAGCTACGTCATAGTCGCAATGCTGGATGATTTTAACAAAGGATTTTCTTATTTACAATCCAAATTTCATCCAACATGGCCAGCATTCCATTGTTCTCTTACTCTCAGGAGGATATTTGCAACCCACCAATAAGCAAACAGTGACAGCATTTCAATAGAATAATACGAATGAATTTCATATTAATAACTCTATTGAACTCATTAACAATTCTTTATGCATATGTATTGTATAAAGCAGAAGTGTTCATGCTCTCTAGCATTGCTAAACAATAACTACCTTCACTTGAGAATTAAGAGATACAATGACTTTGATAATTCGCCAATTGGTAATCTGTGAGTACAATAATTGAAGTTTACGCCATGCAGTCGAATGCTTCATTTTGGGTTTCAATAATGACGAGGATGGGACACAGAAGCACGCTGCTGTTTTCAATTACAAACGTGTAAGTAATGTACTTTTACCGAGATTTTGAAAGCGTTTTGCAGAAGAGGTTAATAAAGAATGCTGTAACTTAAAGAAGGTACCGAATATAAAGATAAATTTTAATTATCGTGAAAGTGTACTGACATTAAAATGTTTGATACGAGGATAAGTGTGTATTGAGTATATATGACAGCTGCTGCTGCGCTTTGAGGTTTTTCTATTACATATCGACTGTTTTTTAGTGTATAGTCTTCATATTTTTGAATAATGAGTGACTCTATACAGAACAGAATCATTTATATATTCGCTGTGATTATCTAATATATTTGCTGCCATTGTTTGCATATTCTTAGGGTAACCCCAACTGTTTCCTTTGCTTCAAGACAAGGTGAAATTTATATAGGGTGTGCGAGTACTTAAAGATAATTGTATGAGCCCAAAATTCTGCTACTTAACTAGCTCCCTCGAATTCAACCATTGTCGCCCCGAAATCCCGATGCAATTTCCCTGAAATCCAGTTACAATATTAAGCCCTTAATAACCGAGCTTGAGTTCTTTACGGAGAAATATCGGACTGATGTCTTCTTGTACAGACCGAGCCTGTAGGGCGAGGTTTGTAGAAAAAGACAAAGGTCTGATATTTCTCAGTAAAGACTGAGAAAGTGAGGTTATTAAAAAGATTATTACATGGCATTATTTCACCTGAAACAAAGCTTGCTTTCTTTCACGTCCTTGCTGTTTTTACGGGTTGGCTTTCACTTTTCTAGTTTTCGTCCATAAAAAATTAATCGTTTCAAATTGTATCGTCTGGATAGTTTAACTGTTTTCCAAGTGTTTTTCCTTCGAATCACATTCGTAAGTAGTTTTTTGTTTCGTTTATTTTGCGTTTTGCTCTGCATTACGAAGTTTCTTTACATTTGACAGTAAAACTATGTGTTTCGGACCATGGTCGATTACGGGAAAATAATGGACTGGCAAAAATGTTTCTGAGCCAATCAAAGCGCGCCATGTTTCTGTAAGTGACGCTTGCCATATAATAATCAATTAAAGTCTTCTAAATCCTTTTTTGCTTAACTCGTATTCTTAATGCATTGGTTGATCAGTTCTTCAAAAACGTCAGTTTTGCGATCATGTCTTTTTGATTGAATGTCTGAACGACTGCCTCAAAACCTCAACAAATCATTTCATTTTTACAAACCTTCGATTAGGCACACAATTATCTGTCATCGTAGCCCAAAGTGTGATTTTGTTGTCTTCGGACAGCCCAATAATTACCATTCCGTCTGGTGTTATAGCTATGTTCTGTAAAATAAAGTTCACTAAATTTGTCATCTGTTTTTTCGCATATGAAACACATAAGCAAAAACTTTGAATTTTGCGTTTAGATTCCACCATTTTTCTCGGCATCAAATATCAACATTACAGAAGTAGTAATTTACGTGTTTATTGCAGGATATATACCCGAATCTCTCTACCGTTGTCAGCTTCCAAGACCTTCTCTACCACATAAGATGTTGTGTTCCACACACTCACAAAATTTCCTGGACCTGATATACTCATCATGTGACCTTCTAGAGGTGAGTGACACAGTTTCTTGACAGCCCCTACAGAGTCGTCTAGTATCATTGCACATGCGCCAGTCTCTGTCTGCCATATTCTAATTGTTGTGTCGTGGGAAGTGCTCGCTAAATAATGACCGTCGGGAGAAAATTTTATATCGTTAACGGCATCGCGATGTCTTTTGGCTAGAAAGTGCTTTTCACTATACGCGACATAATTAATAATTTTTAACTTGTTTGTGGTTATCATTTGTTGTGATTGGCAAATTATAGATACATTCCTAAGTCATTTATCACTAATCAATTTAGTCAAAATACTGTCTAGCTCTTCAGAATTGAGACAGTTAAACGACTTTTGTGACCTTCAATGCGAGACAGGTCAAGTGAGTTTGACGTTTTATACAACGTTTTAAAATGCAACAAAGTTAAATTTGTTTGATGATTCGGCGTCATTCTTGTGTGTCATTTATTAATTCGTTGAGGGCGAAACGGTCCATTCCTTTGCTTTATTTTTGAATTGCAAGAATTAAAAATCGTCCGCCATATTAACATTTTGCACGTGTTATTCTTTGGTAATCAGCATAAAATTAGCAATGATTTAGCTACTGATCTATTTATTTAATGACCAACCATTTATATAAAATTTAAATCAACTTCAATGAAACTCAATATAACTATCTTTTAAACATATAATTAAATAATTTATGAAGGAAAATATGATATTTATAACTCAAAAGAGAAAGGAGAAGATAGTTATGATTCTTATGAAATAATTTTCTGTTGCGCAATAGCTAATATTTTTTAAGAAGGGCCAGTATTTTCCCATTGGTCCCAGGCCCTACTCTGGCTTCGTGACGCACGCCACTGATACGCTGGACATAAGACGGAATATCGGCTACGTTAATTGCGGTGCAAATAACAAACGTTTTATCTAAAAATAACAATTTCGTTGCAACTACCTTTGCAAATAAAAAGTTGCTTGTTCCCTAAAACACTTGAATTGATTTGGTCATTATTGCATTTGGTTCAGTTATTATCCAAGATTTTATCTATTTACTCTTTGTACTTAAAGTAGTCTATTCATGCTTGAGTTAGTCCACAATCAAAGAAAATAAAACGCGGTTATATAAACACATTTTCGTGCATGAAAGGTAACCAAAGTTTCAACTGGTTCTTTTGACTTTACTAAATTTACTTTTCTAATCTAATTGGACGTTCTTTGTTATAATAGTCAGCCTAATCCATAAACTTATCACTGAAAAGGAAAGCTCTTGAAATGATGATCTTCCAACTGACTTGATCATTCCTTTGGTCTTATAATTCTTGTTTACGAGGAAAAAAGGCTTTTAAAAACCTTCTTCAGTGGATGCCCACAAGATGAGCAAAAAGTTGCTAAAAGATGCAACAACAAAACTTGCCCATTTTACTGCTCTCAAAACACGTAAACTTTCATCACATTCACTATTAATCATGAATTCCAGTTTAATATCAATAAAGAAAACTTAATTTAATTAAAAATATCTAGTATAAATGTTGATTTGGCAGAAATTAGTGCAAATGTTATACAGCTTTTAGAATATTATCCAATTATTAGAATATTAGGATCACAGTTTCTGCTAAAAACAATTCATACACTTTAATAGCGTTGCGTGGAGTGTCATGAGTTGTACGTCATTCATCTTGTCGCACAACACAATGTTCAGCCATTTCTTGTTTTCACCGCCGTCGGAAGCTCTAAGTAAGAATGGGGGGGTCTGAAAATTCAAATATCTTAGAGTCTCGAAATATCCTTCCACTGAAAGTAACCGCACCATTAAATTAGCCACCTTTTTAAAATTGAAATAGCCCGGGCAGCTTATTATTTCGAGACTCTACGGTATGTGACTTTCTCCTAGAAGATTTGGGGAAAAGCTGGGGCTTGTTAAATTTTCACAACAATTTTGAAAATTACTGAAAGGGGGTTGCAGCCTGCCCAAACCCCACAGCTTCCGATGGGCCTGGTTTCATATGCTTTATTCATTCATGTCTTCGTTTTTAGCAGAAATGTGACATAAAAACTACTGATACTTAAACTACTTCTATCATAGTCTGCTGTATTCTTACGCAGTCTTTACACTCTTCATTCTTTCCACAACTCTTTATCGAATACATTATTCCTTTCTTACGATGACACAGATTACAGTCCAGAATGAGTATTGAGATGAGGACAGTCGAGAGAATGAAGGCAACTAACATCAATTTAGGTGATGTGATGTAAACAAATAACCCTTTATTTAGCACCTGGGGTCGACTTTCTGTAGAGAAATTTTATGGAAATAAGATCATGAAGCAAATCGTAAAACATGATTATTTTGCAATTTTTCTCAAAAGTTGTGCACATCTAATTACACACAGTACGCTTTTTGTTAAATTTTTCAATCATAATTGAAAATTTTTACCTGGATCACTGCGTATGCTACTTTATGGACTTTTGTTCCAGAGATTGCAAGATGTATGTTCTTTAATGACTTCAAACGGGTTGAACCATCTAGGGTTTTTGTTTTGACATTCTTCATTTTTCTGTTGCTTTGCAACCAGGCAAGCATTGAGTGAATGGGATAAAGAGATAATTTAAAAGAACCTTTGTATATTCACTGTGCAGATGAAAACGAGGTTGTGGATGCTTGCAATAGTCATTACATGTTCTCACGTTTGGTGGATTGTATTTTACTTTTGTTGTAAATTCTGTTTCGTTAACTGTAAACACAAAAGGAAAAGCGTTTCAAATTTAGATCTCAGTTTAAATTTTAATTAAATACAGAAGTCCTTACTTTCGTTTGAAGATAGATTCTTGTGTAGATTAAAGTTCACAGCTGCAAGTTCTCTTCCAGGTAACAAGAAGTGTGATTATATACAATATATTTGTAAAATTTTGTGTAATTTTTAAATCAGGAACGACAATCTCGACTTCTGTCAATGTCATAGGTTGGGACCAACATAATGAACATGTAGGAAGATTATCTTTATCGATGACACATCGTTGAACTTTAACATAATATGGCTCCCTGTCCTTGGGAATGTCAGTGAAGTTTTCATTATAAATTGAGACAACTTTTTCTTTGAGGACTGAAACTATAGAAAATGAATATTAACGTTAACTTATTTTCATCATGATTCAAATCATTATTTGTTTTTGTACCTGGCTTATTGTTAGTAGTCTCGTTGTCTGTTTTATTATGCACATTCTTGCTCATGAACACTACACATATTATGCATGTATATATAAAGTTGTTAAAGACACCTAAAGAAGACAAAGATTGTTTTTCAGAAAATTCATTATTTAATGCTCATTATTACACACGTGAACTGCTCATTTTATGAAGCATTTATTTTATCGTGAAAAATACAAGGTGTTGGGTTATGGTGTATTGTTTCAGTAAATCACTCAATTATATTATTAACAAAATAAATTCATTAATCGTAGAATTATGTCATCAAAAAAATTTGTCAACACTAATGAAAGTATCTTTAACTGTCTTATTTATAAGAAATTCATTAAATAATTTTCTTGAAGACTAAATTTATGCATTTCCTCCATCATTAATAAACATGCATTGCTCACCCATTTCTTCTGTTTTTACAAGCTGATTTCTCAAAGATATCTTGTACAATGTCAGGTGTCTTGTCTCTCTTATAATTCACAACTTAGCTTCGCTTTTTCAAATGATGAGTTCTGAAAAGTCTTTTTATACTCTCTAATTTCAATAGCATGGTTTTATAAACCTCAAAAATTTAAGATTTTAACCACACTTGAGATGGAAATTAGTCTTCAAAGACATCCTATGTTTTGATAAGTACTATGAATATATTTGAACGGAATGTCATTCATATGTAATCATTATGTAGGTACACTCATTTAATTGTTTATTAACTATACAATCAATGTTTATTCATCCCTGAACCATTGAAGATGACTCATCAAATCTCTGTAATCAACCAGTTTTATATTGAAGTATTTTATGTCGTTATTAATTTATAAACTGGCACTTGAAATGTTAAGATTTCTTACTCTTAAACCATTGTTTGCTTCCCTTAATTAAGTTACTGTAAAATTCAAATCATAAAGAAGAATCTGAAAGCGTGGGCCCATAGCATAATTATTCTCTCATTATTCTCTCATATTCTGCACGATGGTCATGCTGGCCTATCCTCTCAACTTGCTTAAAAAGTAAATATTTACACTGTTAATCATGTCTCTCAATTAAACGATCCTACGTCGGCACATTATATTTTGACGTAAACATTACTGAATTATCAATTTATCATGTTTTGTGAGTAATATGAAATGGGAAGAATTTACAGATATAATGATTTGTCGAAATGCCAAGTTACATAGCTATTTAATTGAGATGTAATTGTTGATTTGCTGCTGGCAAATTCTGGGGTAAATTTTTCTTTTTGATTGTTTTTATATAGCCGGGCAACAAAGATGTGTCAAATTGTTTACGTGGCTATATTTTTAAAATAGGAAGAGCAAACACGCATTCTAGCGCTTCTTGTAGATGTTGATAATTTCTGTTTGTCATGGGTTATGGTGTGCTACGGTAGCTATATATCCATTTAACTATTTGCATGTTACAAAATTTTAAAGCTACATTTATATCATTTTTTTTCATTACTACAGCTAAATACGATTGGATATGTATTTTTTTTTTGACAATATTGCATTCTTTATTCATAAGATGAACTCCATGACTTGTTCGAGAACATAAAATTATTTGATAGCTATATAGAATTGCAAATTAGTTAGTTACTATAAAAACAACTCGTCTGTTTTGGAAATAAGTAATAAGTAATTCAGGCAGCTCATTGCTCTCAAATTATTGCAAAGGCAGCTTTGACGCACTTCAATTCCAATGATGTTGTAGGGAAATCACATTTAAGAAATCTATTACTGTGTATATAGCCTGTATGGGAAGAGTTTTAAGTGACTGCACATTATTGCAAAGTCAGATTTGAATTGAGGCAATTGCATGAGTTCCAATGACGTTTTAGGAAATTACATTTTTATAAAACAAAGACTTTATTGTGGTCACGAACTTTAATATTGCTGTGATTAACGTATTTGTCATGGTGAACGACAATTTAAGTAGTTCTTAAGAACTGTAGAAAACTGAAATGAAGATAGTTATAAAATTATGGTGCAGTTTGCCGAAATGCATCGTGTCATTTTAATTTTATGTAATATCCTCATTTTGGTGTTCAACTGTTCTTTGAAGAACTACTCAATTGTCAATCACCACGACAAATACGCTAATCAAAGCAAGAATTAAAATATTTTCTTAAATTGAAGACAAAAGACAGCAAAGCAAAGCATTTGAGCTTTTGCAAACGACAAGGTGACAATCTATTAACTGTTAAGCGGTAGCCTAGCCATCTCAAGAGTTGCATGGTCATGCTCTGTAAGTTTTTTAACACGATATCATTGTTGGTTTCCTAATGGATATTGTTTTTACAGTGAACAAACACCAAAATACGTACATAGCTGTGAAGGACTTGATGCGGTTAACCGTTATAAACGTGACCCAAAAGTTAACGTCAATGTCGTTAATTCTTTCATGCTATCTTTTGGGTCTCGCTCTGTCAGTTGTTCAGTGTTGATTTATTTACAACTTATTCAATATATGCAATCAAACACTACATATTAGCATCGTTTTGTATTATGATGATAATTAGTTATTATAACATCGATGTACGCCGGTGGCCATTATTACACAAATAATATTCCGGTTATACATATTCATATTTTTCATTGTTAAAGCAATTGTTTCTGTTTGTATGCAGCGGTTAAAAATATTAACTTCTTGCACAACTCTCTTTCGTAGTTTAAGGGATTTTTTTGAGACCGAAATCCAACCGAGATTGCAGGATATTTTTACTCATATATAAATCATATATAATAAACAACCACTCTCGGGCACCATAAGATATTTTTACCACTATGTGGATTAAGCTTGTGCATACGGCCTGGTTTTCATGTCTGTTCATAAGCATTTGATATTCATTTTGTCGTTTGCCGAAGAATAGACTGAGTAGTCTCCTTTTGACCGCTTGCTGTCAGAGTCTCCTTTTGACCGCTTTTGTATCCTTTGATGCTTGCTGTCAAATTTGACGGCTTGTTGTTAGAAGTTTTGTATTTTACTAAAGTAAAGTTTTCCATGTAACTAATCAGATCTACACATAAATACTGATGGGTTTTCCTTTTTAATATTTCGATATCATTGCTTATTTTAGTTATTTATTGCAGTATGTCTTTGATATGCATTGACCTGTATATTACAGACAATGAAAATAATATATTCGCCCACGACTGCTGTCATGCTATTCATTTTGTGTTTGCCGAAGAATAGACTGAGTATCTCCTTTAACCGCTTGCTGTCAAAGTCTCCTTTTGACCGCTTGCTGTCAGAAGAAGTTTTGTATTTTACTAAAATAAAGTTTCTATGTAACTAATCAGATCTACACAAATATTCGATGGTTTCCCTTTTAATGTTTCTGATATCATTGCTTATTTTAGTTATTTATTGCAGCATGTCTTTGATATGCATTGACCTGTATATTACAATGAAAATAATATATTGCCCATGACTGCCAAAAAGCATATATAAGGACACATATTATTGTTTGTGTTTCGTGAGCGTCTATGGTATTCCCATTCAGTAATTCAAACCATATTAGGACAAATTTGTTCTGGTATTATAGAAATGCTTTGAAAAGATAGTTTAGCTTTACTCTAAAATATTTTAAATTTTGAATGTTTTCGTCCAAGATTGTGAACGATCGGGCTACTGTAACAGTCTCAGACATTCCACACTACATTCGATACATAAGAACTTGAAATAGAAATCTAGTTATGTTATCGTAGATATTAATTCAAGCTTGACTTATGCAAAGATACTTTTAAAACATGTATACAATAAACAATTATCTCTTGAGCTAAAAGAATAAAAATTTGTGAACTTCCTTAATAGATAATGTGATAAAGAGTGCATGATTTAAAAGAAACTGCAGGAAAACGTTTTTCGTCTGTCACACCAACTTTACCATAAAGCCTAGTTCACATATAGTTGTAATTGTTGTAATTCGATCGGTGATGAACGTTTGCAGCAATTACAACTATAAGTAAACGCGTTGTCATTGTTGTAATTGTTGTAATTTAATCGCAGACAAATCGAGAGCTGTTCAGAAGTTGAACTTGTCCAACTCTTACAACATTTACAACATAAGAAATTTACACGAACGATTATCGGTGATGGCAGTTCATCTTTACCGAATTATTGTACGATAAATGATCAAATTTGATACTAGTAAGTATCACCTGAATTACAACAACTACAACTATTTATGAATAGGTAGTGTTGTAAATCATTTGTATTGTATAAAATCAGTTGGAATCCGAATGTATGAAATCAGTTGAAATGTATGAAATCAGTTGGAAGGTATCGCTGATGAAATTACAGCAATTACAATTGTATGCGAAGTACGCTTAAACAGGCGATGACGAAATTGTCTGTACTGACTCATGCTCTGACTACACTTATGCGCGTTAAATGTCATATGCTATATCTTGCTAAACGTTTTTTGCTCGAATTGGTACGCACAAAGGCAAGCGGGCTAAACATACAAATATTTTAGTAGAGTCAGTCGTCAAATTTTACTCTAAACCAAGACGAATTTGTCGTTATATCTTCCCGAGTTAATCGTTTGCTGTATATGCAAATTTTGTATTGTTATGGGTATGTATACTTTCGTATTTACTTATCTAATGACATATTGTGTAAATGTGTACGTAATATTAATCATTGAAAATGAAGAAGAAGACTATTTATCCATCCCCTATTGGTCTGATGATGTCTTTGGAATAAAGACAAAATATTACACAATCTGTTGTCTAAAACTCTTGTATAATTTTGATTATTAAGAAAACGAGATGTCTGTTTTCGGAATTTGTTTTATTTTATTTTACTTAAAATTGTCTGGTTGTCCTGGTTATTAATCCCCTATCTATCTTACCAAAATATTGATTAAACAAAAAGAAACCGTTGACTAACATAGGTGGGGTTTCCTTTGAAATACACATAAGTCACTACAATATCACAGAAACGAAATGTGGAAATTCTTAACATATTAATGTTCAATAAAATACTTTATTATAGACAACCCTATTAAAGTCTGCCATCGAAAATTTTATACTTATTAAAAAATGTTTTATTAAAACGTCTATGTATGTTGAAGTTCCAAATATTTTTTGCCAACAAAATTTGTTTTTAAATCATAAGCGGACGGCAAAATAAAGTTATATAGCTCAATTCGATTTTATATTCGAAAAATACGTTCAAAAACACTATTGGTTCGGAATTTCTAATGAATATAAGTTTACCAATGCACTTGCATCTAAAATGTTTGTAAACTTGTAAATATATTGTAAAAGGAGCTGCAGTAATTTATTTTTTGACGTACCCCGGTCCAGCACTGTTTTTATTAATAGCAAGCTAACTTGTTTAGATCTTATGACGTATATTGGCTTATGTTAGAGTTACTGCAAATTAATTATCATTCAGTATTGCATGAGATCAGAGCTCTGCCCTACTGTGAGATAATTGTTGTCATTTTTTTTTGTAAGATTTTAAATTCATGTGCTCCATTTTTATTGTTTTAAAAAAGTATTCGCTGAAGAAATCATTACATTTACCAATATATAAACTGCCGATAATTTTACAACAACTGTAGTTTTGACTCACCCATTGCTTTTCTTTTTCCAATATGAGCGAGCGAACGATTTCTCACAATAATTTCGATTTTCTTTGGTTTGCTATTTTTTGACAGTCTTCAGCTGTTCTTGTATGTGCAGCCGAGTACAAAGTATGAATGAATCTCCAAGCGTCGGTCTATTTATTTGCTCTACTTTTTGCTACCTGGAATCTTCCAGTTTGTTCGAAAGGAGTGAAAGTTCTTCCTTGCCTCCGAAATGCGCTGTCAGAATAAGGATGATGTGTTTTATGAAGCAACTGCAAGTCAGTTTCGACGGAAATTTTCATAATGTTTTGAAAGCATTCAGTCCAAAACATAAAATCTTTTCGAAAAACATGTGTGGCTACCTGATTTTTTCATTACAGAAATATATTATTCACTCAAGCTTCATTCACAGTATGTTCATGTAATTTGTTACATTTTTTGTTTTTTTTAAATAGAGTTTGGTGGTATAGTGGTTAGTGGTGTATAGTACCTGGTGTTATTACTATGGGGAAAGGTGACATTGTGTCTATATAAAGAAATCTGTCTGTGCAAATATCTTTTATTTTATTTTAAACCCTTTCATTCGTTGTAACTACACATTATTTTATGATGTAGCTAATGATCTGTTTTTCATTGATTCGATAATTATGTTAAAATCTTGGAGTACATATGTTTGGTGTACAACATTATATCATACATTATCATACATGATATGCGCTAGGCAAGTTAATTGAGGTTATCTTAGTCACGTTTTAGTTAGTATTGTGACGTTAACTAAACAATGAAAATGGTTGCTTATGTGCATGTAATTATTTATCATAACAGTTTCGGTTTCGCATTGTGGTTTTACTATTGTGGCAGCTCGAATTATTTTTGCTTAGTAACGTGAATGTGAACTAAAAACTAGAATTTTCATCCACAATATCGAAAAATGTGATTGTTAAATGAAGCGATTTAGCTGATGTTTTTCAATAAGTTTGAAGAATTCTCCATGCAAACAATCGAGGTTCAAAACACTTTACTTAAATCTTTAACTAACTTTTGAGTAATTCCTCAGTCAATGATACCTGAAACTAAATTATTTTTTTAATGGAAATTTAGGGTGGGTAATGTGACAGGGGTGGATTTAGGGTGATGGGCGAAGCGGAGGCGCGCGCTTCCCCTTTGCCGGAAAAGTACCCAACAAATAGAATAATATAATACAAAATGACAGGCCACTTACAGTTTCCAAACTAATTCAAAGGGTTCAGCTTCCTCTTTCATAATCTCTTGGAATTCATGAAACATTTTGTATGGTTGATTCAAATTACGGATTTAAACTTTGCGTTCTTCGCATATATTCATATTTTTGCCCTAAAATCATACGGTGTTTTTCATCTGTGATTATTTCAAAAATAATCGGACAAAAAAGCTTTAATTTCTCTATCCTTAAGCCAATACTTGTATCCACAGCATCTTCGTGTCACGATGGAAAATGTGCGAGAATACAGAAGTTTCCATTTACCAAAAATTTGTACTTATCATTTACTCAACATTAAGGCTCCAGACATTAGTCTCCATGAAAGGTGTTTAGTTTATTTTCTTTCAAAGCCCATTCATCCAGGTGTACACAAGCTATATTGCTCTGAATCTTCATATTTATAATTTGTGTTTCATATCACTGTAACAGAAACTTAAAGTACACTCATTCGATAAATATCTTTATTAACGAGATATTCGTGCGAACGTAGCATAACTTCTAAAAGTTCTTTTCTTTGTACAAGTTTTCTAATAATCGTTTCATTGTGCTTCATTTGTTCATGTCTTGTTCCAAGCAGAAATGTGAAGGAAAAACTACTGATACTTAAACCATTTCTATCATAGTTTGCTGTCTTCTTACGCAGTCTTCACACTCTTCATTCTTTCCACAACTCTTTATAGAATACATTATTCCTTTCTTACGATGACACAGAATACACTCCAAAATGAGTATTGAGATGTCAATATCTAAAACAAACCAATTGATGTGCTGTTCGTGCTGAGCTCACAAAATGTACTGCAGCGACAAATGCACATTGAAGACGATTTCAAGCCGACACATACTCTTAATTTATTTAGTAAATGTACTGAAATCAAACACGTTTTGATTCGAATTTTTTGAATGATTACAGTAATTTTGATTATTTTTTCAAAAAATTATTTGTTAATTTTAGTCAGTGTTACTGCCCACTTCTCATATGTCTGTTCTGGTGATCACCATGGATAAACAGTTAAATAGATGTTTGACCTGCAGTACTCTGTAGTTAAAGCAAGTTTTAATTTTAATTAGGTTAACGCATCTTTATTTTATAAATGCTCTGCTCACCCATAATGTCTGTTCTCATGTCACGACTCTTATAGCTATATCTTTCTAATTCACTGCTTAGCTGTTCTTTGTATGTGATGAATTCTGGTAATGCACATGCTTGAATAGGGAAGCATTTTATACTTCCTAAGATTCTAGCATGTTACAATGATAAAATGTTGGTTAACCGTAAATTATCATATAAGAATTATGTGGTAATTGTAACAAACGGTAAATATACTCCTTTATTTAAAGTGTGTAAATTACTTTGAGTCATCGAAGATGAATCAAACTCAACATTTAAAACTGTTTTATAGTTGCAATATCTTAAATTAATAACAGTCTGATGTTGAGCTATTTCTTAAATGTTTGTAGCCAAATAAAACCGGTTATCGTGACTACAGTACGCTGGTTTGCTTAGTTTTGACGGAGCTGTGACTTTGTACATTATTCGTACGATGTGTTTTTTTCTGAAACACAGAAATATATGATGTAGAATAAAATTGTTATTAAGGAATGTGTTAGTTTGCTTTGAGATTGAGGAATTAATTTTCTATTGCTAACATCTCTATGTTCTCAAAGTACTACAGTCAGTCGAGGTCGTTCGATAAATAAATGTTTAGATTTGAAGTTTTAATGTCGAATGTTGAAGTTTTCATCGATGTTGTAGGTAAAATATATCTTAAAAATTTAATGTGAAGCACATAGAGATTTTCAGCGAATTACGCAATGTGTTAACATAAAGTGTGTTAAATTAATCTCTTGTGAAAAATTCATCGAATGTACAAACATCAAGTGTGTTAACCATAAAGTCACTTATTACAGGTGAAATTGATAAGTTTTAACTCATTGGATTGTTGTTCTACTTTTCCTCAATTCTTATTAGTTGTATTTCTAAATAAATTGTTTGATAAATTTTTTCTGTTTTTTTCGACTTTGTTACGGAAATGTAACACTTGACTTAAACTTTTCCTAACTATTCTGGCAATTGTTATATGACTTTTATATTACGTATATAATTCGCATGCTAATTAGTTGCCTTGATATTTTTGCCAAATGCCATGCGCATAATGTATACTACCCACGTATATTTGATGTTTTCAAGGACATCTAAATAAGACAAAAAGTCTTGCATTAAAGAAATATATATCCATCAAAACACAAGAATTAAAATTGATGTCATTTGACAAAGTCGTCGCTATCAACGAAATTAGTTGATGCTGTAATATTTATTTAAGTAGTACATGAAACGAGTTTTTGGAGAGTGCGTACTCGTAATTACTATTCTCTACGGAGGCAATAATGCAATTAAAAATAGTTAGGAAAAACACGGCAATTTTATGACCTGTGACATAAGTGTTACGTTGCAAGCTGACGATTTCAAGCTTGTCAATTGTTTATACATCATCGGCTGCCTAGAAATCACTCAACGCTTCTTTTAGAATCGATTTATCCAAATATTTTCCTCGATTCACAGCTGTAGGCAATGTTTGTCATCACGTGTGCGATAGTCATTGATATCACGTGTATTCCACGTATGTATGGGTGTTAACAGTCTAATATTTTCACAATGTCGGCAAGTTTCACCAAAAAAATGACAGGTCACTAGCACAAAACAGTAATAAAGTAAATGGTTGAACCCCGGGAGTATCGTAACATGTTTGTGGATGAAGATCGTCCAGGTTAGTAGAGACCTGAGAAGGACTGTTGCAGGGGCGGATCTAGAGTATGTCAAATCCGTCGCGCGACTGATGTTTGAAATTCAAAAATTACCTATTCATATTAATTAAAAATTCATTAATTATTCTTACTTTATTATCGCATTTACTTCGTGATAAAAATCCAGCTTTATTTATTATTGAAAACTAATGACTAATCCAATGAATATCTCTTGGTAACCAGATCAGTTGAATTTTAATTGACCTGGAATAACCGACTGATAAGCGGGTGGCTTGACTGGTTCGACTTATAAAGGAGTCTATGAACGCCAGAAACGCTATTTTATTGGTCAATGGCCAGATCAGTGGACAGTCTGGAATAATCTCGACCAATAATAGGTGGCCGGACCTATAAGGGAGTCCAATTGCTATCTTACAATTGGTTCATTTGAATTTTGTCTTACTGTGATTGGTTTGACCGATTTCGACTGATAGCCAACTGAACTAACATAGTCAAGATCAATGTCTGAATTGAATGTTTGATCGTTCATAGTATTTTCTTGAAGCATGATAGAAACTAAACTACAATCAGATGGAATTTATGGAAATCTTTACAAATTCATATGTTGACATGAATGCTGCTTTCCAAACTGGGAATTTTTTCAAGAGGGTGAAAAATTTATGGATGAATTGTAAATGCTTGGCAAAGACGATCTCGCGACATTTCAGTCATTGATGTTCAAAAGAAAGCCAACATTGTTTTGAGTTTTATCAGCAGAAATTTACATCGAAAATCGTAAGTAAAGGACAAGTGAAGTGTATGCATGAATGCAATATATCAAAGTCAATGCGGTGTGATGCGATTTATGTTAATATGGCGTATGGTAAGCAGATTGATGCTTCTAAAATTGTTGTTGCCGAAGGACTTTTAGCTATGATTTCTTTAATGCTTGGGGAATCGTGGCCGCATATGGCAGCGAAATCCTACATTTCTGCAAATATATTTCAATGGACAAAAATCTGTAGCCATAAGGTGCCATACTATTATTTACTTTATCATAAACAAATGTTTGGGCTTTTCAGTTTATGATCATTGATCATTCAATCATTGGACAGTTATACTACATATTGTTTAAGATTTGAGAAAACTAACATTGATTACATGAGAAGCTGTTTACTATAGCCTGTGATTTTGAGTCTTATGATCCATGAAGCTTTTTTATTTTGACAATTTGACTGGAATGGTATTAAACCTGAGTATTTCACATACATGAAATGTTGTCCCATGTCACATATTGTCTCCTTTCTAACTGAACACCTCATGTAGAGATGTAGAGGTGTGTTAATCTACGGCTCATACCAGATTGTTGCCATAAATTCCAAAGGGCTATTGATGTATGAAAAGCATTTTCTATAAAGTAAAAATGTCTTCCTATGTATGCAGATAAACCTTGAAATTTGGCAAAACAGCAAAGTATTTTTCATGATCACTAGGTAATTTTTCTGATGATCATTATAATTTCTAAACTAAATTATTTTAGATTTACATTTAAACAAGCTTTGATCATATGAAAAGATATTTATCACAACCAGTAAGCATGACACATAAACCATTTTTAACATTCATGTAATTATATAATTAAAGACATGTTGGTTACATTCTGTTTGTATTTGATAATACAATGCTACTAGTGATTGCTATATAGCACACCTTGCAGAAGATAATAGTCTAGTGAAATGCCTAATAAACATTTATGGCATTAAGCTAACCTTAACTGCAAATTTTCACTCTGATAATTTTTGGTTAATTTTGGCAGAAAAAAATTTTGAGTTTTTCTCCAAGGGTGAATTTGCTGGCACTGATGTGGAGATGGGTAAAGAGTTACAATAAACTTGCATGGTTTGAAGTCTGAGCTTTTCTATATCTATGAACTGTCACTTGTAGTACCAAATTTCTAACTTTACTTATTACATAGAGGTTTGAATGGGGGTCTCTTGGGGGGTCTGTGCCTGACAACTTGGTAGAAATTTTAAAGAATATATCTGTTTTTGAATAGCATTATTGTAAAATAAATTTACGTTCCTAGACATGCTAATGAGCCATATATTTGGCATGATAATGAGCCTAATAATTTGGCAAAACATTCAAGTATTGTTCACTTTATTTTTTTTTTTTGAAAAAAAACGTAAGAAAAATGTGTTGTTTTTACGCAAAAACGATGCCCACAAAATACATTTTGTATTGCTCTAAAACGCTGAAAATGGCATTTTCAAGACTCTGAAATTCAAAATTTCTCAGGGGAGAATGCCTCAGACCCCCCCAGGTGCGGAGCGCCTCCGACGTTTTATGACTGATGTTTGAAAAATCCTAGATCCGCCCCTGGACTGTTGGTATTGATGTAGACTGACGTTTCGACAACCTTAGCATTAGTCATCTTCAGAGTCATCTTAACTCTGACTGACGTCAGCTTTTTAAAATAAGCATGACAGACGTAGCTATGATTTTTCAACACGGACATCGCGAAAGTAATCGTAAGGGTGATTACTGTCGACGTTTCGTCTTCAACTTAAGCCGTTTTAAAGTTAGAGCTAAGCTGCTAAGCCACTAGAAGGCTTTTGAGTTTTCCAATTTTTACAATTATACTTCATCATATATCGAGGAGGGAAACGTATGAAATTTTTCGCAGACAATTTATCAGAGAATTTTTCACTCTTACTGAATTTTACGTTGTTGTTACATAATTTGTAATACATTGTTATTTGCGATTAAATGTACTGAAACTAACCAATAACAGTTAGTGTCATTTCTTGCTTTGTGACGACATGTGCTAGGTGCAACTGTTAAATTTTTAATTACTTATATTACTAACTGGTCGCCCGTGCTGACTCATCATATCTGCTTCCTATGGCACATCACTTCCACCGAATCAAAAAATAATTTGCATCATCTATGTAAATTTATTTCATAGATAATTACTTCACAATATTTAATCAACATTTCGTAATGATTATTTACAATAATCGAGAACAGTGTTCAGGAGTTGGTCTATGCAGTTTGTCGTCAAAGTTACATTTGTGCTGCATAACATTTGGGATGTTAATGACAGGAGGGTTTGCTTCAGTTGTGAAGGTAACTTTTTATTACATGCATCGTTTAAATAGACGGTAATTTGGTCATGTGAAAGAAATTTTGTACGTTATTTGAAAATGCTTTATATACGCTTAGGTACATAATAAATTGGACGGCCATCTCTATGCGATCAAAAGAATTTATTTGAATCAGACAAGTGTTCTGTTAAGTCGCAAAATTGCTCGAGAAGAGAAGTTCCTTTCTAGATTGAATCATGAAAATATTGTAAGGTAAAAAGAAATTTACTATCCAAAATAAATCAAAATTTTATAACATAAGGGTTGAAAGCGAGGTTCAATTTAGACGATACAAATTGCTTGGCTTGTTAAAGTTATCTTTGTAAAATCTATTATAAAAAAGTAGATAATCCCTTTTTTTCATGAAGCCCATGGATGCTTTTATTCATGATGAGAAAGTTATATTTAAGAGGAGGCTCTCGCTCGTCACGAGAGTCATGAGAAAGTTACATTGTAAAAGGTAACATGTAAAAAACGTATAAACATGCTTAGAGTTGCTTTAAATTCTAAGTCAAAGAGGCAGAAGTATTCTGAACCTTTGCAGTATCCTTGAATGTTCTAGTTTTTTTATGAAATAAACCAAATATAAAATTCAAAAGAAAAAACCCCGTATTCAGTCCATGCTTTCCGATACTTTCTTAAGCAAAAGGCACTAGAACGCTGCATGTTAACGTTTCGGTGGAGATTTCAGCCCCTCGCTATCCTACATGGGGATGCAAATACGTAAAAAGCTTCCGCACGTCAGACCCCGAGATCATTTGCGATAGGCCTTTCTCGGGGTACTCAGGAAGAGTGTAGAAATACTTTCGCGCACGTGCAGATCCTATCTCGTAAAATATTGAAGTTACGACGAATGTTTGAGAGTCACTTATCAGTGTTGAAACAGGTAAGTTTTAATTGATTGGATTGTTCTTCTACTTTTCTTCATTCGTTTTTGTTGTATTCGAAATAAATATTTTAATAACTTTTTCCTATTTCTTTCAATTTATGTAACGTTACAACGCAACAAATAAAACTATACTTGAAAGGTCAAATTATGCCATGCATATTAGAGTTACATCAATTACTATATGTGTATGCTAAGAAGCAGCCATTAGTGATTTTTAGCCTTCATAAAGTTAAGCATGTTCATAATGTTATTCGAGATTATTTTCCACTCCTAGATGTTTCATGGTTTCATTTCAGATTTTGTTGTTTGAACGAAATATCTTATTTCCAAACGTTTAATTCCAAATATTAATGACTCCATCTCTATCAGCGGTTGCGATGCACCATTCATTGCCATCGTCATGCAGAGCAATTGTCGTAACACCTTTATGTGAGGAGTTGTTCTGTATGTGAAATAAAATACATTTCTGAGGTAGGTCGACTTTTGCATTCTTTAATATTAATATTGATAAGTTTAGTAACTTTTTTGCGATGTAAGAAAGGATCAAGTCGTATTAACAACAGCATGCAGAAAATCCTACTCGATACTAAAATTATTTTTAAAAATTACTGCCTTTACTCACCAATACACTTTTCAGTATTTTTTCATGCTCTCTCTATATATAGGAGTGCATGTCTCAAATTCATCAAAAGTGAAGGAAAGTAAAACGTAGGGTAATCAACGCAATTCTTGGGTTGCAAGCTACGTCATAGTCGCCATGTTGGATGATTTTAACAAAGGATTTTCCTTATTTACAATGCAAATTTCATCCAACATCGCCAGCATTCCATTGTTCTCTTACTCTCAGGAGGATGGTTGCAACCCACCAATAAGCAAACAGTGACAGCATTTCAATAGAATAATACTGCTGAATTTCATATTAATAACTCTATTGAACTCATTAACAATTTTTATGCATATGTATTGTATAAAGCAGAAGTGTTCATGCTCTCTAGCATTGCTAAACAATAACTACCTTCACTTGAGAATTAAGAGATACAATGACTTTGATAATTCGCCAATTGGTAATCTGTGAGTACAATAATTGAAGTTTACGCCATGCAGTCGAATGCTTCATTTTGGGTTTCAATAATGACGAGGATGGGACACAGAAGCACGCTGCTGCTTTCAATTACAAACGTGTAGGTAATGTACTTTTACCGAGGCTTTGAAAGCGTTTTGTAGAAGAGGTTAATAAAGAATGCTGTAACTTAAAGAAGGTACCGAATATAAAGATAAATTTTAAGTATCGTGAAAGTGTACTGACATTTAAATGTTTGATACGATGATAAGTGTGTATTGAGTATATATCACAGCTGTTGCTGCGTTTTGAGATTTTTCTTTTACATATCGACTGTTTTTTAGTCTATAGTCTTCATATTTTTGAATAATGAGTGACTCTATACTGAACAGAGTCATTTATATATTCGCTGTGATTATCTAATATATTTGCTGCATTGTTTGCATATTATCTGGGTAACCCTAACTGTTTCTTTTGCTTCAAAATAAGGTTAGATTTATATAGGGAGTGCGAGTACTTAAAGATAATTGTATGAGCCCAAAATTCTGCTACTTAACTAGCTCCCTCGAATTCAACCATAGTCACCCCGAAATCCCGATGTAATTTCCCTGAAATCCAGTTACAATACTAAGTCATTAATAGCTGAGCGCGAGGTCTTTTCGGAGAAATATCGGACTGATGTCTTCTTGTACAGACCGAGCCCGTAGGGCAAGTTTTGTAGAAAAAGACAACGGTCTGATATTTCTCAGTAAAGACCGAGAAAGCGACGTTATTCAAAAGATTATTACATGGCCTTATTTCACCTGAAACAAAGCTTGCCTTCTTTCTCGTCTTTGTTGTTTTTACGGGTTGGCTTTCACTTTTCTAGTTTTCGTCTTTAAAAAATTAATCGTTTCAAATTGTATCGTTTGGATGGTTTAACTGTTTTCCAAGTGTTTTTCCTTCGTTACACTTGACTTAATTATTTGCTAATTACAGGAAGAATATGAGAGCATATTTTAACACTTTGCACTATCCTTGGATACCAAGTTTAATACGTGAAAGCAGGACCGTCTACAGAACAGTAAATTGGGAGGGAAGGAGAGGATACTCATGTATTCAGTTGTTCCTGATTGTAACGTTTTAGTGGTGGCAATTTGCATTAAAACAAGCATTAATTTTTTTAATTCACTTTGGCTAGAAAGTGCTTTTCACTATTTTTTCATTCCTAAAATATAATCTCCTGCAATATAAAACTTCAGCTTATTATCAATTTAAAAAGCAACGAAAGGTTTATTGATTACTATAACACATGCAAATAATGAATAATACGCGACATAATTAATAATTCTTAACTTGCTTGTGGTTATCATTTGTTGTGATTGGCAAATTAAGATACATTCCTAAGTCATTTGTCACTGATCAATTTAGTCAAAATACTGTCTAGCTCTTCAGAAAATCTCTGAATTGAGACAGTTAAACGACTTTTCACCTTCAATGCGAGACAGGTCAAGTGAGTTTGACGTTTTATACAACGTTTTAAAAATGCAACAAAGTTAAATTTGTTTGATGATTCGGCGTCATTCTTGTGTGTCATTTATTAATTCGTTGAGGGCGAAACGGTCATTCCTTTGCTTTATTTTTGAATTGGAAAGAATTTAAAATCGTCCGCCATATTAACATTTTGCACGTGTTATTCTTTGGTAATCAGCATAAAATTAGCAATGATTTAGCTACTGATCTATTTATTTAATGACCAACCATTTATATAAAATTTAAATCAACTTCAATGAAACTCAATATAACTATCTTTTAAACATATAATTAAATAATTTATGAAGGAAAATATGATATTTATAACTCAAAAGAGAAAGGAGAAGATAGTTATGATTCTTATGAAATAATTTTCTGTTGCGCAATAGCTAATATTTTTTAAGAAGGGCCAGTATTTTCCCATTGGTCCCAGGGCCCTACTCTGGCTTCGTGACGCACGCCACTGATACGCTGGACATAAGACGGAATATCGGCTACGTTAATTGCGGTGAAAATAGCAAACGCTTTATCAACAAAATAACAATTTTGTTGCAACTACCTTTGCAAATAAAAAGTTGCTTGTTACCTAAAACACTTGAATTGATTTGGTCATTATTGCATTTGGTTCAGTTATTATCCAAGATTTTATCTATTTACTCTTTGTACTTAAAGTAGTCTATTCATGCTTGAGTTAGTCCACAATCAAAGAAAAGAAAACGCGGTTATATAAACACATTCTCGTGCATGAAAGGTAACCAAAGTTTCAACTGGTTCTTTTGACTTTACTAAATTTACTTTTCTAATCTAATTGGACGTTCTTTGTTATAATAGTCAGCCTAATCCATAAACTTATCACTGAAAAGGAAAGCTCTTGAAATGATGATCTGCCAACTGACTTGATCATTCCTTTGGTCTTATATTCTGGTTTACGAGGAAAAAGGCTTTTAAAACCTTCTTCAGTGGATGCCCACAAGATGAGCAAAAGTTGCTAGAATATGCAACAACAAAACTTGCCCATTTTACTGCTCTCAAACACGTCAACTTTCATCACATTCACTAATAATCATGAATTCCAGTTTAATATCAATAAAGAAAATTTAAGTTAATTAAAAATATATAGTATAAATGTTGATTTGGCTGAAATTAGTGCAAATGTTATACAGCTTTTACAATATTATCCAATTATTAGAATATTACGATCACAGTTTCTGCTGAAAACAATTCATACACTTTAATAGCGTTGCGTGGAGTGTCATGAGTTGTACGTCATTCATCTTGTCGCACAACACAATGTTTAGTCATTTCTTGTTTTCACCGCCGTCGGAAGCTCTAAGTAAGAATGGGGGGGGTCTGAAAATTCAAATATCTTAGAGTCTCGAAATATCCTTCCACTGAAAGTAACCGCACCATTAAATTAGCCACCTTTTAAAATTGAAATAGCCGGGCAGCTTATTATTTCGAGACTCTACGGTATGTGACTTTCTCCTAGAAGATTTGGGAAAAGCTGGGGCTTGTTAAATTTTCACAACAATTTTGAAAATTACTGAAAGGGGTTGCAGCCTGCCCAAACCCCACAGCTTCCGATGGGCCTGGTTTCAGATGCTTTATTCATTCATGTCTTCCTTTTAGCAGAAATGTGACACAAAACTACTGATACTTAAACCATTTCTATCATAGTCTGCTGTCTTCTTACGCAGTCTTTACACTCTTCATTCTTTCCACAACTCTTTATCGAATACATTATTCCTTTCTTACGATGACACAGATTACAGTCCAGAATGAGTATTGAGATGAGGACAGTCGAGAGAATGAAGGCAACTAACATCAATTTAGGTGATGTGATGTAAACAAATAACCCTTTATTTAGCACCTGGGGTCGACTTTCTGTAGAGAAATTTTATGGAAATAAGATCATGAAGCAAATCGTAAAACATGATTATTTTGCAATTTTTCTCAAAAGTTGTGCACATCTAATTACACACAGTACGCTTTTTGGTTAAATTTTTCAATCATGATTGAAAATTCCTTACCTGGATCACTGCGTATGCTACTTTTATGGACTTTTTTGATCCAGAGACTGCAAGATGTATGTTCTTTAATGACTTCAATCGGGAATGAACCATCGAGGGTTTCTGTTTTGACAATCTTCATTGTCTCAATTGCTTTGCAACCAGGCAAGCATTGATTTAATGGGATAAAGAGATAATGTAAAAGAACCTCTATATATTCACTGTGCAGATGAAAACGAGGTTGTGGATGCTTGCAATAGTCATTACATGTTCTCACGTTTGGTGGATTGTATTTTACTTTTGTTGTAAATTCTGTTTCGTTAACTGTAAACACAAAAGGAAAAGCGTTTCAAATTTAGATCTCAGTTTAAATTTCAATTAAATACAGAAGTCCTTAATTTCGTTTGAAGGTAGATTCTTGTGTAAATTAAAGTTCACAGCCGGCACTTTCTCTTTCAGGTAACAAGAAGTGTGATTATATACAATATATTTGTAAAATTTTGTGTAATTTTTTAAGTCAGGAACGACAATCTCGACTTCTGTCAATGTCATAGATTGGGGCCAACATAATGCACATTCAGGAATTTTATCTTTATCGATGATACATCGTTGAACTTTAACATAATATGGCTCTCTATCCTTGGGAATGTCAGTGAAGTTTTCATTATAGATTGAGACAACTTCTTCTTTGAGGACTGAAACTATAGAAAATGAATATTAACGTTAACTTATTTTCATCATGATTCAAATCATTATTTGTTTTTGTACCTGGTTTATTGTTAGTAGTCTCGTTGTCTGTTTTACAATGCACATAATTGCTCATGAACACCATGCATATTATGCATGTATATATAAAGTTGT